CAACGACACATCGTATTTTCAATCTCAACTCCCTGGGGCGCATACAACTCTTGCTGCCTACTAGGCTCACCGAGTTAATGTGGCTTTCCCATCCTTACGAGGTACCCATTCACAGCTGGGTAGACTGGGACACATAGTCACAGTACTTTGTCCAACTTTACTGCACGTTGCCGTACCCGCAACTAGGTGTTTGCACGTAGTCATGTGGCCACCATCTGGTCATCTACCAACGGATTCGCGGGGTCTTCTAAGTGCACATGGTTGTGTACTGTACACTAGGGGTTGTGACAACACTGAAAGAATCTGCACACAAAGTTTTTACACCCGGTCACAGGTGGGCTCGATCCCGGCACCTCCAAGCTCGCTGGATTACTAGCCTGGCGCCTTAGACCGCTCGCCCACCGCGCCCCGGAAATGTGTTGTGTTTTTGTCACATACAATTCCGTGAATGACTGATCATGATAACAACGTTACGTTTCCAGGTTTTCTGAATTTCATCATCTAAAAAATAATGACTATTTTTTTCTACCTATTTTCCCTCTTCTTTAATTTCGATATGAACAATATCTCAACTGCAAAACTAAAGTCATTGAATTGTATCACTTTACTAAACGGTTATATAGGAGACTGACAGAGCTACATCACTGTTCGTGAAGACCAGCGAACTTCAATACGGAACATAATACCTGATTCCAAGGTAAACATCAATGACATTTTCTAACGGTACATAATTCTTTATGGTGCTGCAGGGGAAGATGCCGTGTACTTCTCTATAGACACAGCAACAGGGGAGGTGAAGTTGCAGAAATTTGTCGATTACGACAACGGAACTCGAGTCCTTGACCGCGTGACCTTGACCGTCAATGACTCTGCTGGGCAAGAGGACTGGGTTACCTTTAATATTGCAATCATTGACCTGAACGACAACAGTCCGATGTGCTCTCAGTCTGACTATGTTGTGGACGTCCCAGAAAACACACCCCCAGGTAAGAACCACTTCGTACTTAAAGACAAACAAGGCTGAATAGTTTGGGAATGAAATGTTTTCAATCCTTTCATGAACCACGATCTGTATAGAATTTAAGTGGCATATGTTGTTATATCTTCTATCTTTGCTAAACACCAGTAAATATCCGAGTTAGAATTGATCTTCAGCAACCCATGAGAGGCGACTAACGGGATCGGGTGGTCAGGTTGGTCATCTTATCCCAATTGCGCAGATCGATGCTCATGATGTTGATCACTGTATTGTCTGGTCCAGACTTGATTATTTACAGACCGCCGTATAGCTGGAATATTGCTGAGTGCGGCATTCCATGAACAAACAAACAAACCATTTGCTAACGGTTTACGTTCTGAGTTCCAAGTTGGAGGTGCAATGTGCCCTAATGTGTGTTACATGTGTCGATTTCATGTACCGGTTGTATGGCTTTGAATATAGTAAACATGACAAACATCTTGAATCATGAGCCTTATATCCCCAAACAACGATTTAGAATTGGCCCTAATCAAAGTGTGCCATCGTTCCCTGACTGCGTTGATCCTTGTTCATAATATCAATCACTAGTTTGTCTGGTCTACGTTTGAAGTACAGGCACCGTTGTACAGCGGAAAGGGGTTGAGTATAGCCAGAATTAAACAAAAGCAAACATGAGACAGACAAACGATGTTTTTGTGAGCTTAGATGGGTTTTTTGAATGAAAGAACAGCGTTTCGAAGAATGTTTTTCAAAGAAGAACAGTCACAGTGTGTTACGTCATCTACAGGGAAACTGCTGCTGACGCTACAGTGTTCGGACCTCGATGACAACCAACTTGGGAATTTCACCAGTAAACTCGTCAGTAACGGTAGTTTCAGCGACTACGTCGTCTTATCAGATCTGCGTGTGTACACGGGAAACAATGTGACGGATTTCGAGTCGGTCGGACCAGATAGTTCCAGGGTCCTCAAGGTCGTCCTGACTGACAACCCCGGAGGTTACGTTCAGCTCACCTCAACAGTGCTGATAACAGTTAAGGTGAGTGAGATTCTATAATCAGTTTATGGGGCGAAAATTGTTTCAGAAATATCCCAACAAAGTGGTAACATAAACTATACTGTCAGAAGCCTTTTTTAATTATTGAAAAGTTTTGTCTGTTTGTTGTTTGAAGTTTGTTGTTTGAATAGTCCAGCTAATAAACAAACAAAACAAAACAGAACCTCTGAAATCCGAATAATTCATGTACGTGTATTGCGTTCACTTCGATTAAATTACACGACATTAAAGGTCACATGCAACGTAAAACACAACTTTGCAGATTCTAAAACCTTTCGGTATGCCTTACCGAAACAAATCATCAAAAATGCAAATTCAACTTATAAAGTTGACAATTACGCGATGAAAAAACCCGCGCGAAATCGGAGTTCAAACGATTTACTAATTTCTCCCCAGCGCTTGGGGGAAATAGTGGTTTCAACAGCTGGGCTGGGCTGCGCTCATAGCACATGCGCAGTGAAATAGGTTCGCGCGGCTTGGAAGCGGGTTGTCCGGTGAATACTCGGTGAAGGCTTTGGTGTGAGCTATTTTTCTTATGTTTTGTTGATATTTCACAGGCGCGAGCTTTTATATGTTATGACAGTAGATTACCGATTTAACTGTTTATATAATTTCATTCGTCTATTTCACCACACGTTCTTCTTACCGAGTCACTTTCTCAGTTCCATACTTAAAAGCGATTAGTGTTGACAGAATTTCTAATTGTAATAAAGATATGTCGTTGTCACAGACAAAACTCAGTGTCTGTTTTATTGACACCTATGTGTCTGCCTGCTTGTCTGCTAATGGCAATATTCAATACACGCCTTCGATCACTGACCACATGCAATTTGAACTTAACACCTATCAGGCTATACACCATAAGCAAAACGCATTGATCTATGGCCCGAGTTCGGTCTCTGTCACATTATGTAATTACACAGACAGGCAGGTGTGATACTTGTACACATGACATGTTATGATACCTGTTGATTGCAAAATGTTATACACAAAAAATGAGCATGTATTTACAAAACCCAACATCTCTATATATACACACACATAATGAGCCGTTAGGGAATCGGCAAATGAACCAGCCGTTACACTTGAGTGCACACCCACCCGCTCTGACTGGGTTCGGCATCCCGGCTGCTTCGTTTCTTGGGAAGTAAACCCAAGTACAAAATATTGCCCTTTTGATTTGCGATTGTACGCTTATAATTTTGTTTATATGTTTTTTCATAATCAGCAATGTATATTATATGTCATGAATAAGTGATATATGTGTTTTAATTATGTTTGATTTCTTGGTAGCATGTGTCTATTGACACTTTTTTTTAGGATTTGAAAAATATATCATAATATTTAAAATACATTTACAAATGTATATGCATATCACATTAATCAACATGTACCTTACGTTGTGTACACAGATTTCCCCAGTTAATGAGTTCGAGCCTAAATGGGTGTCGCCGACCATAATGTACAACTCCACCTTTGTCAACATCACAGTGTATGACGGCGTGGCCATCGGCTCTGTTGTTACTGTGTATAACGCGGAGGATGCAGACGGAGGACAAGATGGCGTCATCAGCTACGTCTTGAAATCTGTCACCACAGGTGAACCTTTGCTCTTTTTGTTGTTATATCATTAAGTAGGACGGTAATGTGTTTAAGTCACACCTTTCATTTTTACTCTGTTTGAAAGAAAGTGTTAGGTTTCCTGTGTTTCAATTTGAATTAATGTATTTCTTGTACTGGGATCTTCAAACTTGATCTGCGCGGCGGGATAGCCTTGTGGTTACAGCGTTCGATCGTCACGCCGAAGACCCGGGTTCGATTCCCCACATGGGTACAATGTGTGAAGCCCTTCCCTGGTGTGCCCCGCCGTGATATTGCTAGAATATTGCTAAAAGCGGCGTAAAACTAAACTCACCCACTCAAACTTGATCTTCTAACGCGCTTCAAGGTATAATATTTGTGTTTGTTCTAACACCGCACAATATTCCAGCTTGTTGACGGTGGTCTGTAAATATTGCTGCATCATGAACATCGATCCCACGGAATACGACGGCATGCAATCAACCACGCCATCGACCTGACGACTTGATTCGTTTTGTGCCCTCTTACTACGAACATAGTTTCCTGGGGACGTCTATGCTTACTCGGAATTCCATATGTAATGATAACCTTAGAACATTGCCCGGTTACGTCAGTTAATCACTGCATTGTCTGGTCCAGACTCGATTATTACAGACCTCCGCCAAAAAGCTATATTGCGGCTAATGCTGCGTTAAATAACAAACGGTGAGTGAGTGAGTTTAGGTTTAGTCAGCAATATTCCAGCTATATGGCGGCGGTCTGTAAATAATCGAGTCTGGACCAGACAATCCAGTGATCAACAGCATGAGCATCGATCTGCTCAATTGGGTACCGAAGACATGTGTGAACCAAGTCAGCGAGCCTGACCACCCGATCCCGTTAGTCGCCTCTTACGACAAGCATGGGTTACTGAGGATCAATATTCTAACCCGGACCTTTACGGGTCAAATAACAAACAAACAGTAACATAAGTTGGTTATCATTTTTGAAAGAGTATAAGTGAAATCGTAATTTAAATACTTATATTACTTACCCTGGGAACACCTCCATATGTTTGTGTTACAGATACTGGCGTCAATTCGTCCAATATATTCGTCATTGATGCAACATCTGGAACACTTAGAACGGCGGCCATGTTGAAGTCAAAAGCGGAACTGTGTATAATGTCGTCGTTGTTGCCAGGGACAACGGATCCCCATCTAAATCAGTTGAAGGAGCACAGAGAATAGTAATAGCAAGCAGTAATGATAACCCCCCGACTGTAACTCAGAGAATTGATACCATCAGTGTTTTCGAGAACGCCACTATAGGGGACGTAATTTACACGTTACAAGGATCTGACGTCAAGGCTGAACCTTGTAAGGTCAGTAACAGTCTGTTTATGATGAATGGGACCTCGCTTCTCCTGAACGGGACACTGGATTACGAGAGGAAGCGACTTTATACTTTGACCATAACGTACGTATACGTCTGTACACAATATTCTTTTATCTATGACTGAAAACGAAAGCAAAATGTTGTACAATTTCTGCATAATTAACACTGCTAACCAACCCATAAACATTCGGGTCAAATCTTTACAACCTTGCCTCTCGTAAACGGCGAGTAATGCTGTTTTGGCTCAGTGGGTTATGCCTGGCGTCGCCTGTCAGTTGCGTAGTTCTATCCTCACCATATCAATCACTGGATTGTGTAGTCCAGGCTCTTAACAAAGCGTCGTCATATACAGACATTTTGCTAAGGTGTTAACAACAAACAACAAACAAAGTGTTCAGAAAAATTCTAAATTATGAATCCTGTCATTGGATCCTAAAACAATATGGCTATTTAAATGTCATAGTTTATGAAAACTAACCATATCAATAGATTGCTCATGTCTTTTATTCTGGCAAGAAATACAATACACATTGTGCAGTAAGCATTTTTAGAGGTTGATTCTCTTCTGAAATTGAAATCCCTAATCTAGTACAGCTATAGGTTATTAAACGTAAATACTATGATACTTCGTATGTAGAATCATGTGAAGCTTTAATTGTCAGCCTGGAACGAAAGGAGGCCATGTCCTTTTGTATTCTGGCAAGAAATACAATACATATTGTACAGTAAGGAGTGTTTGAGGTTGATTCTCTTCTTGATTTGAAACCCCTAATCTAGAACAGCTATAGGCTACTAAAAGGGTGATACTTCGCATTTGAGAATCATGTGGAGCCTTTGGTTTTTAGTCTGGAACTATATAATGGAGATCATGTCGTTGACTCTCGAAGCAATTACTGAGAGTCATGCACCTAAATATGAACATTGTGCCATTAATAACTGTCTAACGGACAGTGTTGTGACCCACAGCTCCACTGAACGAGTGAGTGAGTGAATTTAGTTTTACGCCGCATTTAGCAATATGCCAGCAATATCACTCCAAGGGACACCAGAAATGGGCTTCACACATTGTGCCCATATGGGGAATCGAACCCGGGTCTTCAGCATGATGAGCGAACGCCTTAACCACTCGGCTACCCTACCGCCTACAAACAAAGCCAAAACCAGTTCATTCCCGATTATGACACTTGGTTTGCGATCGCCTCATCTATTCCTCAAACGTGAACCACAGACAAACTGTAGCGCAAATGGGGTTGCGCAACAGAGAGAGAAAAATGATCAGTCGTACCATATCCGAGCTTTCAAACTGGTCATTTAACTCTGTTGCGCAACCCTGTTTGCACTACAGTTTGCCTGTGCGTGAACTGGCATGCTGTTATACGTATCTACTATATTGTTATAATATACAACGATGAGCACATCTTATGTATCTTCGTATAGTCAAACGAGCAGCAATATAGATTTGTCCCATAGAACAAACTCACATTGTAGCTGACATGAATGTATGACGAATGTCAGTGGATATCATAAAAGACAAATGGATAAAATATTAATCAAATGAATTTCAACAGGAACGAGCTTTACGATATCATGGTTAAAGTTTGATTATTATTACGATTCGTCGTCCTAGGTCTGGAGACGGCAAAGATACAACAATCACTGTGAATGTCGTAAACATCAACGACGAAATACCCTTCATCCAGACTACCGGCCCCATCGCTATTCTGGAGGAGCAGCCAATCGGAACAGTCTTGGGTGGAGTTTTCTCTGTGACTGACAGCGACGAAGGGGATGCATTAACATATGATATTGTGGGTGAGGCATTCACTTTAGTATATTTCAAGTCCTGTATAAATTATCACCGTTTGTACTTCTGTAGCTAACACAACCAAATCCTCCAGACTTGCCAATTTCATCAGGCATAACCTTGGCACTGATGATCTTGCCAAATGGATGAAACAATTCCCTATTCTAGTCATCATCTAACTCGTCTCCGAAATTCTTGATGCAAACATTGGGCGATTCGCTCTTTGGTAGGGATAAACTTTCAACATACACTTTCTTGCCAATAAGCAACATGCCATTAACTTTCACAGTGGCCTGTCTGGCTGCTTCTTCAGTTAGTTTGATTCCAAATACTTAAACATATAAAAAATGATTGTTGAGTTCCATGTACACGGGCGGCTTTTACCTATTCATGTTTACAGGTTGCTTTTGGTCATTGCAAATGTTACTGCTTTAATTTTCAAAGTTCTACTATTACAGAAAATATGCCCCGTAAAGATCCGGGTTAGAAATGACCTTGAGCAACCCATGTCGTCAAAGGCGACCAACGGGGTCGGGTGGTCAGGCTCGCTGACTTGGTTGACATATGTCATCGAATCCCAATTGCGCAGATCGATGCTCATGCTGTTGATCACTGAATTGTCTGGTCCAGACTCAATTATTTACAGACCGCCTCCATATAGCTAGAATATTGCTGAGTCTGGCGTAAAATTAAACTCATTCACTCACTCACTCAAAGAAATTAGCCAGCAAGACACTGATTTAACGTGATGTTCAATTCAATGTGTCTGATATGAATGGATATAGACACTCTGAATACATACACACACACACATATTATGTACAGTATATTGTAGTTCTCTTATTATGGTGACTACCTGTTTAAACACATGCACAATTCTATCTGGGGCTGCCATATTGTCCTGTGCGAGTATGTACATTGCCGTAAAAATTATGGTTGCCTTGTTAAATTTGTGAAAAATGAACGCTGTTTCAGAATTACGGTAGTATTGCACTGGGCCAAACTCTGACTTTACATTTAACATCGTTACATATAATTGAAATTGAAATATTGCTTTTATCCCATAGGGAAAGTTAAACATTGGTTTGAAAACCCAAAAGTGCAAACCTTTCATAACTAAAGAAATGCCAACTGCAACATATATCCATTTCATTAATGTTTCCTTCGCATCACTTCTGAGAGGTTTGACCGCCTCCGTGGTTAGAGCGTCCGCCCGGAGAGCGGAAGGTCGCGGGTTCGATCCCCGACCGCGTCATACCAAAAGACGTTAAAATATGGTACTTGTTGGTCCCTGCCTGGCGCTCGGCATTAATGGGTACAACTAGGACTGGTCGGCTCGGAGTCAGTATAATGTGTCTGCGTGGGGTATTCCTGCTTCACTGCGGCATGGTATCTCAGTGGGCTAGCGCTATAAAACCAGCTTAAGTCTGGGCTAGTACAAGCAGCCGCACATACACATACACACGCATGCACGTCGTCATATGAGCGAAATATTCTCAAGCACGACGTTAAACCCAATTTCACCTCACCTCACCTCTGAGAGGTTTATATACGTGCAAAGGAAAAGGGGCATAACTCTGCTATGCTTAACTTCTTTGAATGGTATTTTTAGAAGTTGGAGAGTGATATATGGACAAACTTTATGGATGGACAACTTCTTTATTCAGGTGATGCGACATTTAGATACAGATTCTTGTATCGTTCTCAAACAGACACGTGTGTAGTCACATAGCTTGCCGCCTCAAATTACAGTGTACAGTGTACATATCACGTGATTGTGATGCAAGGTTTGATTGATCGGTGGCAACAGAATAACTTGTCGCATGTAAGTAAGACATGTTCCAAATAATACAGCCCTCGTCCAAGATAAATGTGTACATGGTTAAAAAAGTGTTATATATTTCGACAAACCGTTGTTCTTCTATTTCTGAAGGGAATAACAGTTTATTCAGTATCAACACTACAACTGGCTCACTGACGATAACGCAAGTTCTTGATTATGAGAGCATTGGCAATACCAGTCTGCAGCTGACCTTCAACGTCACTGACGCCGTAGGTCACATGGCTTCCGCAACCTTGACCTTCATGCTAACAGACATAAACGACAACACGCCGACATGTCCCCGTCAGCTGTATTCTGTCAACATCACTGAAGACTCTGGCAATTGTAAGTACTCCTATAGAACGTGTATGAGCTCTTTCATCTGGGTAATGTGAGTGGATCACGTGTTCGTAAGCAATACAGATTGCGCCACCAAGTGATCCTTGTACCTTTGAATGGTCTCAGGTTTACCAGTAAGAAGCATACTTGTCATTTCGAATGTCCAGTGTGTGCCTTTTGGGAAGGAAGCATAACAAGTCTCATTAAAGATATACATGTAATATATATCTGCAATGACTTCTATCACGTTTATGAAATTCCAGAACTGACTGCTCCGCCGGCAGCGTAGAATTGAGCAAAATAATATATCGTTTTCGAAGTTCTACAATAACGTTACAATTCCTGAACGTTACAACGTTACAACCATTTCGACTTTTCGATTATGTTAGAGTAAGTTACAGTACATAGACCTTTAAAACATCTGAATATAAAAGGTGGTTTAGCTTAAAATAAAGTTAAATTTTCTAGAGAAATTTAATGTACAAATTGTGCCGACGCGATAATAAATATCAAGTGGATAGATTTGAAACGACATTTGTGTATATGGACCACTCTTACTTAGGTCCTAAGAGCATTTTCAAATAAACCAAATTTCAACAAAAAAAAGCACAATTTACTAACAGCAAGATGTCTCAATCAAAGCCTTGTTAATGTCCATAAATATTTGGGGGGAGGGGGGAATAAACAGAAGAGTTTACTAAATACGACACTTGTTTGGCAACGTCATGAAAGACGTGGGGTAGCCTAGTGGTCTTCACTCAAAAGACCCGGGTTAGATTCAAGTTACGCCTTGAAGTAGACCGTCAGATCTACTGCTCCCACAGGAATAAGGTCTCATTAGCTGTTAAGCACTCAAAGCTAGAGTTCATGAATATAAAGATTCAGGAAAGTATTGCAGACTCCAATACCCTCTACAAATTAATGTCCTCACAAATGGGAAAAGAAAGGAACTGTTATCTTCCATACATTGGAAGCTCCAAAGATATTGCCATAGCGTTTTTGGAATTTTGTGGCAATAAAATCGAGCAAATCAGAGAAACTTTCGCAAATGTCAACTTTGATGCTGTTGGTGACGAGGGTCACAGTATATTACCTGCAGAGGGATATCTCACTGCGTTCAGACCTTTTACAGACGATGAACTCTTGAAGTTGATCAAGAACGCCACACATACATCGTGTCTCCTTGATCATATCCTGTCCAAAGTTCTATTGGACAATGTTGATATCTTGCTCACATCTCTTGTGAATATTGTGAACTGTAGCCTACACACAGGAGTAATGCCATCACCTTTCAACGAGTCCATAGTCAAGCCATTGCTCAAAAAGCCTTCTCTTGGTAGCAAAGAATAAACGTATTTTCGACCCGTGTCCAATTTGTTATTCGTTTCAAAACTCATTGAACGAGCAGTTAACGAGAGACTCTCACAGCATCTTAAGACACAACATATATATGACTCGATCCAGTCTGCCTATCGTCGAGGACATAGAAAACAGAGCTTCTAAGAGTCCTGAACGACTAGGCGTGGACAGCGGGCAGCTAGCTTTGCTTGTGCTTCTCGACCTCACTGCCGCTTTTGATACTATTGACCAGTCTCCTTTTGTCTCGACTCAAATGTGATTTTGGAAATGCTTTGATGTGGATCAAGTCCTACCTCACACAACGATACAACGTGTGCTTGTTGATGGCTCACTGTCTGATCCGGTCCAGTTGACATGTGGTGTTCCTCAAGGTTCAGTCCGTGGTCCGGTGTTGTTTACATTATATACAACACAACTCAGTGAGTGATGCTCACCAGATAAAGCGACATTGATATGCAGATGGCTCGCAGTTAATCAACATCTTTGATCCTGAACCATCCAAGGCAACATCAGCAGCAACCAAGACAACATAATGTTGCCAGGATACCACGACATGGATGCTCCAAAACAGACTAAAGCTCAATGACGACAAAACAGAATGTATGTTTGTTGGTTCAAAGCTCAACCGGTCTCGAAGTAATTCACACTCTCTTCAGGTTGGAAGCAGTCTTGTTTCGCAGTCATCATCAGTGAAAGACTTAAGAGCCATCCTTGACCCTGAGTTGGATCTTGAAGGACAAGTCAATCATCTCGTGCGAGCATAAAGAAATTATCTGACTAAAGAATCAACCTTAATCATTGTTCTGTCCCTTGCAATGTCTAGACTAGACGATTGTAACAGTTTATTTGACGGGGCTCCGCAAGTGCTAGTTTCAAAACTTCAACGGATCCAGAATATTTGTGAAAGAGTAGTTTCTCTATGTCCAAAGTCTAGCCTTATCACTGTGATTCAGGACTTGCACTGGATACCTGTCCGTCAGAAAATTGCTTTTAAAGTTCTGTGCATCACCTATAAGTGTGTAACTGGTGCTGCTCCTGACTATCTCTGTGAACTACTCCAGCTGTACACACCAGCAAGATCTCTCAGACCCGCTTCACAGAACCTCTTGTGTGTACCCAGAGTCAAAACCATCAGGTATGGCCAAAGATCATTTGCGTTCTATGCAACCATGGAATGGAACAGCCTTCCCCACACTATTAGAACTGCACATCATATTCTGCATTCAGATCATGTATGAAAACTTATCTGTTCCAAAACGGCTACCCTACAAGTTGAAGTGTATCAAATTAACTTATTTTATACCTGTGCTGTGTGACATTGGGCGCTTCGAGCATGCATTATCCTTGGAGAAAGGCGCATTACAAACCGACTGTTTATATATTATTTATATGATCGTCATTCAGACTGATAAACACCTGTCGTTGATGGTTTGAATTTACCTGTGCGAGGAAATCCGGTGAAGTATATGTCATCTGGCTTCATTTTGAAACCTTTGATTTTTTTAAGCAGAGCGACCTTGAACAAAGGTGCGTAATGTACGCCATGGAATAGATGATATTTTATGGAGTGTCCGCTTCGATCTGTTACTGTAACGAGGTGTTTGTTCACTGAACTCCATGTCAATCTTCTTTCCAGAGATCTAGGAAACAGTTGTAGATTGGTTAGTATCTTATGGTTATGCCTGCAAAACGCATGTATTATTATGTCCTCACTGACTGCTAAACATTACAAGAGAGAGGTAATGTTTTGACCATGGCATCCCTTCACTAGAAACACCGTTATCAAGTACAGTTCGGTTGTATATCATCACCCCAATTCTGACACATGTATATATTAACACACATACTCATATGACTGTGGTCATCTTATTTCACATCTCTTGGGAGACAACTTTAAAACAATAACTTCTACATTTTTATCTATACTGTATATTTAGTAAGAAGTTCTTTTCGCCGGTTTAATGATTTGCACATTTTCGATTTGGGAGACCACCTGTCTAAAGCAAGAAAACTTTAAAAGAAAAACTATTTGAAAGATAAGGTATCCCATGTATATTGTGAAGTTAATTCTGTTACAGCTCAAAGTCTATTTTGCTAAAGTGTTTGCCACCATATGTTTGGTTGTTGCCGCACTCAGACTATTGCAACTATATGGTGGCGGCCATATGTTTGTACAGGAGCAAGCCTCATACGTTACACACTTACAAGAATCATAAGGCCAGTAAGGTAGCTTAGCCTTTAAAGCGGTCGACCGTCACGCTGAAGACCCAGGTTTGGTTCCCATCGGGCATAATATGCGAAACCCATTGCTGATGTCACCTGCATTGACATTCCCGGAACATTGCTAAAAGCGTCGTAAAAACCAAACTCACTAAGTTCCCAACGGACATAACGCAATCACAATTATAGTTTTGATTGTAGATGTCTGAGAGTTTCATCTCTTGAACTAGGAATTCACGTATCAAATTTTAAAGTATTGATATATCACATAGCACATTGATACCAGTGAGTGAGTGAATGGTTTTAGGCCGCTTTTGGCAATATTCCAGCAATATCACGGCGGGGACACCAGAAATGGGTTTAAAACATTGTATACATATGTCAAATGGAACCCGGGTGTTCCGGCTTTAGCCTCAAGGCTACCCAACCGCCCCTATGACGCCAGGCATAAACGAACGAGCCAAATCAGCTTTATTCGCCGCATACGAGAGCCATGGGGTGAAGATGAAATCTGACCCGGATTTTCATGCGTTGAACCCGGGTTTTGGGCGTAACGAGCGAACGCTTTAACCACTAGGTTATCCCACCGCCTACGACTTTGCTACCAAATACGGTAGTACGATCGAAAGCCTATACAAGTAGGTCGTCCAGCCTTCACTAGCAAACAAGAAGGGTGTCAAGGCCGTATCTGTCACTGCAGAGTTGAATATTAATTTATTACATAATAATTCATCAACATTATAGATCTAGAGAGACGGTTTTCATCATTACGTACTGTCAATTCCCCCCTCTTTACTCTTTGCTCCATCCATTTTGATGTTTGTATTGTGACACACGAAGGATTCTACTCAGTCGGGACACTATGTCCACTACACTATCACGAAATATGGCTAAAGGTCGACTGTCATAGAAGTAGGCCTGAAGTTACCGTATGCTTTCTGATATACCTCGATATTACACGAAATATGGCTAAAGATCGACTGTCATAGACGTAGGTCTGAAGTTACCGTATGCTTTCTGATATACCTCGATATTACACGAAATATGGCTAAAGATCGACTGTCATAGACGTAGGTCTGAAGTTACCGTATGCTTTCTGATATACCTCGATATTACACGAAATATGGCTAAAGATCGACTGTCATAGACGTAGGTCTGAAGTTACCGTATGCTTTCTGATATACCTCGATATTACACGAAATATGGCTAAAGGTCGACTGTCAGAGACGTGTGTCTGAAGTTACCGTATGCTTTCTGATATACCTCGATATTACACGAAATATGGCTAAAGGTCGACTGTCATAGACGTAGGTCTGAAGTTACCGTATGCTTTCTGATATACCTCGATATTACACGAAATATGTCTAAAGGTCGACTCTCAGAGACGTGTGTCTGAAGTTACCGTATGCTTTCTGATATACCTCGATATTACACGAAATATGGCTAAAGGTCGACTGTCATAGACGTAGGTCTGAAGTTACCGTATGCTTTCTGATATACCTCGATATTACACGAAATATGGCTAAAGGTCGACTGTCATAGACGTAGGTCTGAAGTTACCGTATGCTTTCTGATATACCTCGATATTACACGAAATATGGCTAAAGGTCGACTGTCATAGACGTAGGTCTGAAGTTACCGTATGCTTTCTGATATACCTCGATATTACACGAAATATGGCTAAAGGTCGACTGTCATAGACGTAGGTCTGAAGTTACCGTATGCTTTCTGATATACCTCGATATTACACGAAATATGGCTAAAGGTCGACTGTCATAGACGTAGGTCTGAAGTTACCGTATGCTTTCTGATATACCTCGATATTACACGAAATATGGCTAAAGGTCGACTGTCATAGACGTAGGTCTGAAGTTACCGTATGCTTTCTGATATACCAGTACTTCAGGTAGAACCGTGTGAATATCGCAATATCCAACGTGATTATTGTGTTGCTGCTTTTGTTGAGTATATATTCACTTGCATCGCAATTTACATTGAAAAAGACACAGTTGTATTAGCTACTTGGTCTCGTCTGATGAGTGAGTGAGTGAGATTAGTTTTACGACTCTTTTAGCAATATCACGGCAGGGCTTCACACATTATACCCGTGTGGGGATACGAACCCGGATTTTCGGCGTGACGAGGGAACGCTTTGACCACTAGGCTACTCCCCAGATGAGATCGGGGATTCTTAAAACAATTTGTAAACAAACCAAAAAAGCACGAACGTAAAATGATGATCAACAACGCAGTATCGAAATAATATTCTCCCAATCGTGTGTTCGCTGTACCAAAGGCTTAGAACATGGTGTGTTGCAAGTCAGTGATTATTGTGTACATAGCCAATCAGCATTGATTAACCCCATGGAAGCCAGACAGACATTGATGTACCTTCCGTTCAACCTTCATTTTGAAGTCGATATAATTCAACATACATTACGCGCACAAATACACGTGACAGTTTTTAATTCTAAAGATGTTTTTCCATCTTGATATCAGATGGTGGCATTTTAGGCAAAGCCAAATTGCTGAAAATAATCTCTAGATGTTTTAAAATGGAAATGTTTACTCAGAGAATTGAAATTAAAAAATAGCATTTTAGTGACCACCGATATCAGTGTCATCAAGTCACACATGATTATTCAGAAACTTCGCTGATGACTCCAGAATCGGTTGAAATGGTTTGAGAAGCAGGCAGATACGAACGCCGGAGAAAGAATTCCGCCATATTGGATAGTGTTTACAAAATATGGATTTTACAATGACGATAGTCGTATTGAACGCATACGATTGTTAAACCGAGGTAAATATGGCAACTTCTAACAACATTCTGAAAAAAGGTTCTTGACTTGTTACCAACATAGATACGAAATGTGTAGATTTCTCCATGCCCTTGCGTGTGTTTGTGACGCCGGTCCGGAATGATACGCAACCTTCTGACGAACATCTGGTATTATTTGGATTCATGTACACATGCTCATGATGTAATCGTACAATATACATGTACGCTGTTTTAGTGCCGATTTCTTATGACTATGAAAGTGTTTTTGTGTAGTTTAATTGTTACTATACATTTGCGAATATTATTGCTTACTAAGCGGGTTTTGTGTCAATAAATGTCTGTAAAACGTTTTGAACAGCCTGTCCACTTTCTTTCAAGCCTTCAATGTTCTGAAGTCATACAGATCAATAACGGATGGATATTTCATTTAATGTTTTACCCGATAATACTGTCTTCATGTCAACAATCAAGATATCGATTATGTTATGATTTTATTTATTTCAGTGTAAGAAACACGTGGTTTTATCCACCATTTTAACCAACCTAAAAGGATAGTGAATTCGTAATTCCTGTATCGACATTTATCAGATCCGTTATTTATTCTAGTCTCAACTATCTTCATACACGAGTGCACAGATGTTGATACCGGAAGTAATGGGGAGATAACGCTTTCCATTAAGGATGGTGACACAGATAATCTCTTCAACGTCAGTGACAACCAAGTAATTGTGGGTTCAGTCGACTACGAGGCATTAACCCGTGACGTCCCAATCTACTCCCTCACACTTGCCGTGTCCGACAACCCTCGGATGGAGGCCAGGAGGACAGCATACCTCATACTGGTGGTAACGGTGAGTGCGCTGGTAGAGTGCTATGTGGCGACCACGTTGCTATGTGGCGACCACGTTGATGCTACTTCTTTGCGTGGCATTCTAGAAATTGGGAATTACAATACAGAACAAACTTTACGGATAACAACTTCTTTTATTTCGTGTGTCCGACGTTTCGATACAGATAACAACGATGTGCAACGGTACAATAATCTGTATCGAAACGTCGCACTCACGAAATAAAAGAAGTTGTTATCAATAGTTTGTTCTGTATTTCACGTTGAAGTCGATGTGAAATACAATCTTCATGGGGTTTGTATATAACGTGTTGAGTTAAATGTGTGCATTCACAGTCAGTGTTTATAACTATTCATCACATATCTTAACTCATTCGGGGGCGGTGAGGTAGCCAAGTGGTTAAAGCGTTCGCTTGTCACGCCGAAGACCCGGTTTGATTCCCAACATGAGTACAATGTGTGAAGCCCATTTCTGGTGTTCCGTGATATTGCTGGACTATTGCTGAAGGCGGCGTAAAACGTAACTCACTCCCTCATTCATTCCAGTATATTCGTTCATTCAACGGTAAGACTGTACAGTTTACTATATTAAGATTTAGATTGTTAATTTTTATACCGACTTTTCTGTGCGAAGAATACCCTGGATCAGAACGCTGTGCCACCTCTTAAATCAGCTGGCCAAGTAACTCAGTGGTTTATTGACGTTCTCGGGATGATGATATGAGGTGAGGTGAAATTGGGTTTAACGTCGTGCTTGAGAATATTTCGCTCATATGACGACGTGCATGCGTGTGTATGTGTATGTGCGGCTACTTGTACTAGCCCAGACTTAAGCTGGTTTTATAGTGCTAGCCCACTGAGATACCATGCCGCAGTGAAGCATGAATACCCCACTCAGACACATTATACTGACTCCGAGCCGACCAGTCCTTGTTGTACCCATTAATGCCGAGCGCCAGGCAGGGACCAACAAGTACCATATTTTAACGTCTTTTGGTATGACGCGGTCGGGGATCGAACCCGCGACCTTCCGCTCTCCGGGCGGACGCTCTTACCACTACACCACGGATGCGGTCGATGATTATATGATAGATGCTTAATGGTATGTAATGTTTTTAGGATTAAATCATACAGTTGGAATAAGTGAGTGAGTTCCGTTTTACGCCGCCTTTGGCAATATTCCAGCAATATTACGTGGGGGGACATCAGGAAAACGGACTTCACACATTGTACCAATGTGGGGAATCGAACCCGGGTCTCCGGCGTGACGAGCGAATGCTTTAACAACCAGTAACCCCACCGTCCCTACAGTCAATTTGGTGTCATTCGGTGCTGGCATCAATGTTATTGTTTAGGCATAACCCTGTGGTGTTGGGTTGTACAAATGGTCTGTTATTTACTGTGGCAAGTTCAACAAGCATTTTCCATTGCATGCCTTTCTTCATCTCTTGCAGGTTGCACCTCGGAACGAGTTTGCACCTATCTGGACTTCTCGCTCCCTTGATAACAACACTGGTCAGTTCCCAATCCTGTCCTTGTCCGAGAACGTCCGACCTGGAACAGTGGTGGTAACATTCTCGGCCTCTGATCAGGACAGGGGGGAAGATGGTCGGGTCCGATATAGGATATATACTGCTGTATCTGGTGAGTACATGCAATCCTGTTGGATGGTACCAGGGTGTTAGGGTCCGATATAGGATATATACTGCTGTATCTGGTGAGTACATGCAATTCTGTTGGATGGTACCAGGGTGGTAGGGTCCGATATAGGATATATACTGCTGTATCTGGTGAGTACATGCAATTCTGTTGGATGGTACCAGGGTGTTAGGGTCCGATATAGGATATATACTGCTGTATCTGGTGAGTACATGCAATTCTGTTGGATGGTACCAGGATGGTAGGGTCCGATATAGGATATATATTGGTGTATCTGGTGAGTACATGCAATTCTGTTGGATGGTACCAGGGTGGTAGGGTCCGATATAGGATATATACTGCTGTATCTGGTGAGTACATGCAATTCTGTTGGATGGTACCAGGGTGTTAGGGTCCGATATAGGATATATACTGCTGTATCTGGTGAGTACATGCAATTCTGTTGGATGGTACCAGGGTGGTAGGGTCCGATATAGGATATATACTGGTGTATCTGGTGAGTACATGCAATTCTGTTGGATGGTACCAGGGTGTTAGGGTCCGATATAGGATATATACTGCTGTATCTGGTGAGTACATGCAATTTTGTTGGATGGTACCAGGGTGTTAGGGTCCGATATAGGATATATACTGGTGTATCTGGTGAGTACATGCAATTGTGTTGGATGGTACCAGGGTGGTAGGAGTCCGATATAGGATATATACTGGTGTATCTGGTGAGTACATGCAATTCTGTTGGATGGTACCAGGGTGGTAGGGTCCGATAGGATATATACTGGTGTATCTGGTGAGTACATGCAATTCTGTTGGATGGTACCAGGGTGTTAGGGTCCGATATAGGATATATACTGGTGTATCTGGTGAGTACATGCACTTCTGTTGGATGGTACCAGGGTGGTAGGGTCCGATATAGGATATATACTGGTGTATCTGGTGAGTACATGCAATTCTGTTGGATGGTACCAGGGTGTTAGGGTCCGATATAGGATATATACTGCTGTGTCTGGTGGGTAGTAATGCAATTCTGTTGGATGGTACCAGGGTGTTAGGGTCCGATATAGGATATATACTGCTGTATCTGGTGAGTACATGCAATTCTGTTGGATGGTACCAGGGTGGTAGGGTCCGATATAGGATATATACTGGTGTATCTGGTGAGTACATGCAATTCTGTTGGATGGTACCAGGGTGGTAGGGTCCGATATAGGATATATACTGCTGTATCTGGTGAGTACATGCAATTCTGTTGGATGGTACCAGGGTGGTAGGGTCCGATATAGGATATATACAGGTGTATCTGGTGAGTACATGCAATTCTGTTGGATGGTACCAGGGTGGTAGGGTCCGATAGGATATATACTGGTGTATCTGGTGAGTACATGCAATTCTGTTGGATGGTACCAGGGTGTTAGGGTCCGATATAGGATATATACTGCTGTATCTGGTGAGTACATGCAATTCTGTTGGATGGTACCAGGGTGGTAGGGTCCGATATAGGATATATACTGGTGTATCTGGTGAGTACATGCAATTCTGTTGGATGGTACCAGGGTGGTAGGGTCCGATATAGGATATATACTGGTGTATCTGGTGAGTACATGCAATTCTGTTGGATGGTACCAGGGTGGTAGGGTCCGATAGGATATATACTGGTGTATCTGGTGAGTACATGCAATTCTGTTGGATGGTACCAGGGTGTTAGGGTCCGATATAGGATATATACTGGTGTATCTGGTGAGTACATGCAATTCTGTTGGATGGTACCAGGGTGTTAGGGTCCGATATAGGATATATACTGCTGTATCTGGTGAGTACATGCAATTCTGTTGGATGGTACCAGGGTGGTAGGGTCCAATATAGGATATATACTGGTGTATCTGGTGAGTACATGCAATTCTGTTGGATGGTACCAGGGTGGTAGGGTCTGATATAGGATATATACTGCTGTATCTGGTGAGTACATGCACTTCTGTTGGATGGTACCAGGGTGTTAGGGTCCGATATAGGATATATGCTGCTGTATCTGGTGAGTACATGCAATTCTGTTGGATGGTTCCAGGGTGTTAGGGTCTGATGTAGGATATATACTGGTGTATCTGGTGAGTACATGCAATTCTGTTGGATGGAACTCTGACGATTTGGTCATATATAATAAGGTATATATGGCTGTATCTGGTGAGTATATGGAATTATGGTTGGATGCTATTGGGTTGATCGGGTCAGATATATAATGCTGTATCTGAAGAGTATGTATGCAATTTAGTTTGTTAGATGGTAGACTGGTGATCGGGTCACATATAACATATATAATGCTGTATCTGGTGAGTATATGCAATTTTGTTGGATGGTACTATGGTGATCGGGTCACATAAAACATATATTATGCTGTATCTGGTGAGTATATGCAGTTTTATTGGATGGTATTGAGGTGATCGGGTCTGATATCTGGTGAGTATATTATGCAATTTTGTTGGATGGTACTATGATGATCGGGTCACATATAACAAACATAACCAACCAATGAAATGATGTAAATAAATTAAATCTTACAAATAGTAAATGTAATTTGCGAGATTGCTTACAAAATAGCATTTTTATATGAAACAGAAAGGGAATATGTACTAGGTCGTTTCGCATAATGTACAGGTTAGTTTCAGTGCGTTCTCGCTTATTTGTTCGTAACGTGCCTCACTCACCCATCCACTTACTTCTGTCCTAGATACCGGAACAGATTCCATGGGCATGTTCACGATCGATGACGTCACTGGAGTCCTAGCGACGTCGAGAAACGTCGACGCCGATGTCGCTACAAACGGTAGTCTATATTACGACATCACAATCCGTGCCGAAGACTCCTCCAGCGTCCCTGAATACGCAGCGGGAGTCCAGCGGATCTATCTGACCAACTACAACGACAATCCACCCGTCTTCACCAAATCTCTGTACACCATCCAGGTAACATGCTACAGTTTCAACGGCGACCTCGTATCTTCCGTCGTCGCTAACGACATCGACAATACAAACCTCTATTACAACATCAACGGCAGCAGCCGATACGTTTACGTTAACCTCACAAGCGGCGGGATCATATTGATATACACGCCTGCGGAACTCGGCATGAAGTACGTCACTTCCGATATATTCGTGGTCAAGGTCACGGACAGGGGGAATCCAGAGCTTACAGACTACGCCGTTGTCTACCTCCTCTTCACCGACTGTGACAGACCAACGGTATCAACAACTACAACATCGACCAGTGAGAAAAATCATGTTTATCTGAATCTATGCAAATCTTAAGTTGCATATACACTGAACCATTAAATATTACATAGCAATGTTGCATGTACAAATTAACCCTTGACTACTTGCACAGCAATGTGGCATGTACAATTAACCTTTGTCAACTTGCACAGCATTGTTGCATGTACAAATTACCTTCCACTCTTGCGTGGCAATGTTATATGTATAATGTTCTTGTAACCCTTGACAACTTGCATAGCAATTTTTCTTGTACAATTAACCCTTGACTACTTGCATAGCAATGTTCCATGTACAATTAACCCTTGACTACTTGCATAGCAATGTTCCATGTACAATTAACCCTTGACTACTTTGCATAGCAATGTTCCATGTACAATTAACCCTTGACTACTTGCCTAGCAATGTTCCATGTACAATTAACCCTTGACTACTTGCATAGCAATGTTCCATGTACAATTAACCCTTGACTACTTGCATAGCAATGTTCCATGTACAATTAACCCTTGACTACTTGCATAGCAATGTTCCATGTACAATTAACCCTTGACTATTTGCCTAGCAATGTTGCATGTACAATTAACCCTTGACTACTTGCATAGCAATGTTCCATGTACAATTAACCCTTGACTATTTGCTAGCAATGTTGCATGTACAATTAACCCTTGACTACTTGCATAGCAATGTTCCATGTACAATTAACCCTTGACTACTTGCATAGCAATGTTCCACGTACAATTAACCCTTGACTGTTTGCGGAGCAATGTTGCACGTACAATTAACCCTTGACTACTTGCATAGCAATGTTCCACGTACAATTAACCCTTGACTACTTGCATAGCAATATTCCATGTACAATTAACCCTTGACTACTTGCGTAGCAATGTTCCGCGTACAATTAACCCTTGACTACTTGCCTAGCAATGTTCCATGTACAATTAACCCTTGACTACTTCCATAGCAATGTTGCACGTACAATTATCCCTTGACCGGAGCAATGTTTGACAATACTTGACTACTTGCATAGCAATGTTCCACGTACAATTAACCCTTGACTACTTGCCTAGCAATGTTGCATGTACATTTAACCCTTGACTACTTGCATAGCAATGTTGCAAGTACATTTAACCCTTGACTACTTGCATAGCAATGTTCCACGTACAATTAACCCTTGACTACTTCCATAGCAATATTCCATGTACAATTAACCCTTGACTACTTGCCTAGCAATGTTCCGCGTACAATTAACCCTTGACCTTGACTACTTCCATAGCAATGTTGCATGTACAATTAACCCTTGACTTCTTGCATAGCAATGTTCCATGTACAATTAACCCTTGACTACTTGCATAGCAATGTTCCATGTACAATTAACCCTTGACTACTTGCGTAGCAATGTTGCATGTACATTTAACCCTTGGCTACTTGCATAGCAATGTTCCATGTACAATTAACCCTTGGCTACATGCGTAGCAATGTTCCAACAATTAATCCTTGACTACTTGCATAGCAACGTTGCGTTATGTATGTTGTACAATGAACCTTTGAATACTCGCGTAAGAACGTTGCATGTCATATGTTAGACAATTAACCCTCGCGTAACAATTATCCATATACAAATAGCAATTGACTATTTGCATGGTAATGTTGCACATACAATTAGCCCTTGATTTCTCGCGTAGCAACGTGGCATGTTGCATGTTGTACGATTGACTGCGTCCTCGATAATATCCAGGGTATACCATGGATGCATCTACGGCTCGGCCCGATGATTTTATTACCTCCCTTGGTTGGCTTTTTATCCATTCAGGTGTCTACGCTGGTTGGCTTTTTATCCAATCAGGTGGCTACGCAAGTTGAGCGTACCAATCACAACTCACTTTCGCTTTTTAAATGATCTAACCAATTAAACTTGTCAACACAATAATACATTGTTGCAGATACTCTGAAAGAAGGAGTTCTTGCATATATTTTGTTAAGGTTTAGGACCTGTCAATTTGTCTGTATGTTTTCCCCCCAAATCTGAGTCGCACTGTGAACAAACTTTAGCGGCTGCGACCGCTATTTTTGTTGACACTGGCAAGCTCGGTTGTAACGGCGGCTTATCTGATTGGCTACTGTGAGAATGCGGAGCCAGCAATGGGAGGTAATAAAATCATCGGGCCGAGCCGTACATGCATCCAGGGTATAGTGGAGAGTTATCGTAACGTATGCCCTGGAGATTATCGTGGATGGATTGTCTGTTACGCAGCTGAATCCAACAAGCGCATTGTTAACCTATAATAGAACAAGCAAGGTTACTTAATACTTTGGAAAGATCAGATATACGACTAAGTTTATGAGAGCATTAATCATACATATATCAAACAAGTATGAGGTACAAGAGCATTCACGTGGGTATCTCTTTATGGTCACTGATTATAACAGGAGAAAAATCTTTCCGAAAGCTTAGAGTGAGTGAGTTATAATTTAGAGTGACATCGGCAATATTCAAGCCACATTGTGACTGGAACAAGCTTTTGTTACCATACCTTAAAACCAGAGAGTGTTATACCAATCAATATATCACAAATTGTTTTAAGATTAGTAGTAAAAACTTAAACATGTGACTGTTAGAACACGGTAAAAAGAGATAAATAGGACTACATGTCACAAGTAAGAAAGCTAAGGATAGGGACAAGGAGGAGTAACTGCACCTCTGCCGACTTCATGGTGAACGCAGCAGACAGAACCATACATATTGCAAGAATATTGATTCCCTATACCAATCCTGTGTGAATGGCTGAAATACTTTGTGTTTCCAGCAACAACAACTATCCTGACAACTACATTGGAAGAGGCCACAGAATCGTCGACCAATCGGACAGCTTGTAGCCCACTACGTGGTCAGGTTTTGGAGTTGTGGGCCACGAGGACCTTCTGTGGCATGCTCGGCGTGGGGCTCGTGGGAGTAATTGTGGCAAACATATGGAATAGCAGGTCAGTGCCACTAACAGGGTCATTATGGGGCGTGGCGGATGACCCGTGTTGTTGTTCAGATGCCAAAGAAACAATTCAATGTGTCAGTTACTTTCAGCAGCCATTACAAACCTCCAAACAAGTTTCCGAGGACATTAATCTGCAGACTATTTTAGGACAAAAGAGGCAATTTCAGGATATATCACCTTTGTTACTCTCTGGACAAAACTGCTGTCAACGGCGTGAGTCAGTGAGTTTAGTTTTACGCCGCTTTTAGCAATATTACAGCAATATCTCGACGCGTGACATCAGAAATGGGCTTCAAACACTGTACCCATGTGGGGAATCGAACCCGGATTATCGGCGTGACGAGCGAACGCTTTAACCACTAGGCTACACCACCTACGCCCACCCCCAACCCCATGTTTGACGCGGACAGCCAACCTTACACTCTCCAGCGGACACTCGATCCACTGCATCGCGGAGGCGTATCCATTAAGTAGCACAGCAGTTGTACTCAACTTGGAGTAGAACCATTATTCAGTGGTGTACTTCTCTGTCATCTCCCCAATTAGTAAAGTCGTAAAGAGTAATGTGAAATGAATGTAATTTCAGGGCACGGGCTGCGACGGTAGCTGATTCGATGCTGTCGAAACAAAGGAAAGGTATGATAATACATTGTCTTATACAATCACATGGAACAAATGTTCTTTAATAGGGTACAAAACAACACACATCATTGTTTTATTATAGCAAATGTATTCTTACAGATTTCTCTTTGTCACCCATTTGTGTTTCCCGGCAAATATAATTGTCGTCAGCAGACATGTGGACAGGAGAATCACTATGACCAAAGTTACAATAAAGATATATAGCTGAATAAAAAAGCATCACGTGACCTGGCAAACTGACGGGGATTATGCGAACTATTGAGGCCTTTGATATGGAGGAGTTTATCTTGTTTATTGTTTCTAATGAAAAATACATCATCTCATCGAAGTACACATAAAACAATCAAAACCTCTTAGCATTTAAAGTAATAATAATGATTGACCACTCATAGAGCGCTGAACTCGCAGGGACATGCTCTAAGCGCATACAGCATAATGGTCTGTGAGGATCAAGAAGGTTAACAGTCATATGACTTATATAACCGGTTACCCATTCTCTGCTGGGCGAACAGAGGCAATTTTGAACACACTCATAGGTGCTTCGTTGCGGGACAGGACAGAAGTCCTAGAAACTCTCAGGTGTCAAGCTGCCAAGTATGGTTACCCATCCATGGACCCATATTTGAGCAGATAACAGTATAAAAGCTCCCTTGACCGCGTAGCAGAGGAACCACTGCACATAACTAAACCCACACAACAACAAAAACGAGAGTAAATAAACACTGAATTTATTCGTCGGAAACAAATTCATACATGTCTTCCGTCAACAATAGAGTGCTTACAATCACAAATAATCATTAGAGAGCGTTAGAATAGTTAACTTAACTATCATGACTGCGGATACCGGTAAAGGTGAAATCAGAATACGCGATGTGCGTTATCATTTTTATCCTTGGCAGGTATAAGACATTGTAAAATACCTTTATATCACTATTCTAATTGTCCAATATAACGTGGTGAAACATTTGTCAAACAATATCCATCCCATCCGTTCAAATAGTACACGAAATGCCCTTAGTGAGCTGTCGAGTCGAACAAAAGAAACACGCCATTCACGGAGAATCCGGGATTCCAAGATGGCCGCCAATATTTTTTTTCAAATGTTCAAATTTTGCCTATAATCAGTGTTTGCCCTTAACCCTGAAAAGCTGCAGGTCCTAAGGACCCAGAACCATACAAAGTTGGTCAGTTGATCAGAATGTGTAGGTCCAATATTTAAATATGGAAATAATTCTCTTAGTTATTGGGGATGAAAAAGCTGTCGGCCACAACGAACTGCAGAAAACAAAAGCTGTGGGTCCCAGTGGTTTTCAGTTGGCTTCGGGCCCAAGGACCGACGTTAATTTAGAACGCTGCCTATAATGTAATAATAATGTGGACTTTAACAATTTTATTGATAAGCTGGTCTAATTCTGCCATGTAATGTTTTTAGTAAGTGCCTGACACTGTTTGTGTTTCAGTCTCACCCAGGAGTGTCCTGGACAGAGGGAACACAATGGAAAAGAAAATCCGAGTACGTAACCTCGTGAGTACTGTACCACATCCCAATTGCGTAAATCGATGCCTATGCTGTTGACCGCTGGATTGTCTGGTTCAGACTTGATAATTTACAGACCGCCGCCATATAGCTGGAATATTGCTGGGTGCGGCGTTAAACAACAACCAAACCAAATCCCATAACACTGGTACATTAACTTTTATGACCGACAGATTCAAATTCGACATTGCTAGTAAATATATATAAGAAGTATAGTGACTATAAAGATGCTTGGCTTGAGTAGACTGATATTATGCGCAAGATGTCCAGGCTTCGGGGTTTGTTCAATGTTCTTGTTAAGATCGACAATATGCTGACGAACACTTATCTGGACTCCTCGTTGGATAAGCTATACTTAGTGCCAGGAAATGGATCACACAGTTTGAGTGCAATGATCAAAACCTTCTCAAATTCATATCAAATTAGCCTTTTGGTCCTAACTATGTCATTTGGCGAATGTTTAGAACATACTAGGTTCTTTTCAACTGACGTTAAATTGATTCATATGCATAAAGAGGGATTAGCTAGAGGAGGAGCACAGTTGGTCCCCATGGCGGATGCCACCTTCTTGTCTAAATGCTTTACCCTTTATTTTATATATGTATATATTATCGATGAGGAAATTTAGCAATTTGCATAGGTTTTCTCAGTAAACGTCAAACCGCATTTGATTTCACTTCCCGGATCTCCTGAAGGTGGCTAATGATCTAGGAAGTTGAACATACAATTATTTTGGCGGAACTTTCTTTTCTGAGATTGCAGAAAGTCAAGCAAATGACGTTTTAAGAATTCAGATGGTAATAATGTCACTTGTGTCATATTCTCTCTGTGAATGCAAAGGAACTCATATTCCTGACATTACATAAATTATATGGCGCTTGTTCATTTTGAATTGAACCACATGTCATATTTTAACAGATAGCGGAGGAGACTAACGATGGACCGCCAGGTTTCGGGAAAGACATGCTTACCTCCAGCGCTCCAGTGGGTCATCCCACTATTAAATATAATCCCTAATACACACATCTTCCTGTGATCCCTATGAAATACGAACGGGGTTGTACCTCGAAGGCATATGTAAACGTTAGTATGTTATTCTGAAGGAGGACCTTTGATTTTTTTACCACACAAAACACGTACACTGTTTCATGGAACTTTTTAAAAAAATTGTCGTTACTCTATTATTCTGTCGTAACCCTTACAAACGTTAAATACTTTTTTAAAAAAGTAGAGGAACTTCATTTTTAATTTACGATTGCAAAAATGGGAGATAATATCGGAGTCAATCAATGTTGCTATGATAATAATGAATGTTTTGAGAGTGCATCACCACTTGCACTTCCTTATGACCATAGTTGTTTGTACAGTAATCGTTCTTGAAAGATGATTGGTGTATGGAGTGAAATTTGCATGCATATGATTTACCTTTTCAAACAAAACAGACCGGATATAAACAAACACTAAGTAACAACTGTTTATATGCGAGATGATTGTCAAAATTAATGGTCTGCAGTAATTTATAGATCTTCTTGAAAACCATCAAAATCACGAATGACACCTCAGGCACTTGTATGGGGCTACTGTGTTATGCACGTGCATCCCATGTGTTGGGTTTAGGGAGGGTGATAAAGAGAAATGGTGGTGCGTTCGTAAGATTTGTGTCTTTGAAATGTTTGTTAACGCTCATACTTCCGATCCAAATTGAAAGTTCCCCTACTTTTTGTGAAGAGTATATTAAAGGAGGAAGGTGTGTTTAGTTCAAGTGGGGGAATGACAATTCAAACACGTATATAAGTAGTTATACTTTGCGTAAATGTGATCGAATTACTTTCATGTTCATGTCAAACAGGAAATATTTGTGTATTAACCATGTGAAAAATGTCCAACTGTTTATTCTATATGAATATCTACTTGCAAAGATACTTCTCTGTATGTATGTAACCTTGTTATCTCGGACAAATGCGTTTTATAGCCTATATGCATGCAACATTATAATATATCACAGTTCGAATATGCTTATATCAATTCTATAAATATATATGTATATTTCTCATGTCAATGGCATTATGCAACTAGCGCAGTTGTATTGAATTATGAACTGTTTGACTTTCTGTGCCCTGTTGCTGCCTGTTGTTACCTTGCCAACCTCTGTTCCCAAGATCCATTTTATTTAGCTTGATTTCAATGTATCAATCGATTCACGAGATGATAAAATCTATTGAGAAAGAAAAGAAAACCTTTCAGCTTGGTCTTTGTTGTATATATAACTTGACGCTTTGACTTCTCCGAAACACCCACCCTCTGCACTGCATAAACACCTCTATAACGTTTGTTTTGGGGATTTTTAGAAATATCTTGATTTTTATTTTGCACGTCCTTTTCAGGTATTGATGGTATTGTATATATGTGTGTGCTTTGATTCCCTGTATATGGTTTCGTTGACTTAATCACTGCAGAACCTCAATAGAAGTACAGATCAGAGTATCCAAAACATGCATTAGCATTAACTATATATTCACATTATTTGATTCATACCACCGATACAAAATATAAAAAAACATCAACAAAATATTTCGAAAAAAAACGAAAACGAAGGTGTTTGACTCCTATTGCCGGCAAATGATCTTGACAGTACATGTAATTTACTGGATAGTTTAATTCCACATAAACTCAAATATCCTTGCTTATATAGTATGGCCAATCTGTCTATAACTGGAGCTATTTCTCTGCATATCTCTTATTAACGTTTAAAGGCTTACACCTTGAACGTTTTAACCATATTCAAAAACATCTTTGAGCAATGTTCTTTGAAATGTTCGTAATATGCTCGACTGTACTTGAAAGGATGACACAAAGGCTAGAGCATTTAGAATATTGCTCGACATAAAATGATAGTTGACAATTCTAAAGTCAGTCCCCAAGACTCCCCATTATACATAGTTTTTGTACGACTGGTTTACCTGATATCTCATCACGAGGTCCTGGTTAAGGTGGAACAACTTGTCGCAGAAAAAATAAAAATACATGTACAGTATGTTAACACACATCATTTATTTGTTCCGTAAATTATTTAAAGCGGAATTACACTTCATGCATCCATCTATGTACACATTTACGGCACTGTGCTATTTTAATTGGGCTTAAAGTATAACTATCCATGACATTCCAGAAAGCCAGCTCCCATCTATCATTCAAATCAATATCTACTTGTGTCTATTGTGTCGTGAAGATCCAGGTTAGATTTGGTCTTCAGCAACCCATGCTTGTCGTAAGAGGCGACTAGCGGGTCGAGTGGTCAGGCTCGCTGACTTGGTTGACACATGTCATTGTATCCCAATTGCGTAGATTGATGCTCATGCTGTTGATCACTGAATTGTCTGGTCCAAACTCTATTATTTACAGACCGCCGCCATATAGCTGGAATATTGCTGAGTGCGGCGTTAAACACCAAACCAACAAACTATTGTGTCGTGTGCTTTGCATATCTGTCGTAAAACCGGGAACCCGCCATTTTCTCATCATACACGCGGTAGTACTCCTCCAACATCTCTTCCGTAAACCAGTTCCTCCAGTCTCCAACTGTACCTGTGGACATATCCCTGCTATTCTGTAGATGAGTCATTTCGATCATTATCAATAATGCAGATAAGGGATAAAGATATGACAGAGAGTCCAGCTCAATTTGATTATCTTCAAGACTGGTACCTAAAGAAGTTAAACAATGTTATCTGTGTCACTTGTTAACCATACATTTTTTGCATAAATATCGCCTTTCATAACAGTGAGTGTGTGTGTGAGTATGGTTTTACGGAGCCTTTGGCAACATTGCAGCAATACCACGGCAGGGAACGCCAAAAATGGGTTTCGCAGATTGTACCCATAGGAAGAATCGAACCTGGGTCTTCGTCGTGAAGAGCGAACGCTTTAACCACCAGGCTACTCCACTACCACCTTCAATCAAACATGAAGCGGACAGTAAAGGGACCCTCGACGAATCGTCATGTATCGTATAATACAGTATGGAACTGAGTGACTGATTGTGGAAATAATCCTGCAATGTTCTGTCAGAGGACGAAGATTGGTGGCAACGAAGATTACCGTCACACTTAGTATGTGGGCCCAGACCCGGTCTTCAGAGTAGCGACCCAGGGCCTAGATTTTCGAAGCTCTCTTAGCGCTAAGATAGTCGTAAGTTAATGTTGACGTATGGCAGTTACGACTATCTTAGCGCTAAGAGAGCTTCGAAAATCTAGGTCCTGCTCCTTAACCGCAAGGACCATGGATTTGTGTGTGCATGTTTCAGGCCAGCCAGTAACTAACCTTTCCTGAACAAGTAGCTTTTTCCATTTGATTTCATTGCATATTGGTCCTTGTCTGTTTTCATCCTCACAAAGGTGCACTTCTCCGCAATAGCATGACACAGATCGTCGTTTCTGGGTAGTCCGACGAAATCAGACAGAGCCTTAACTGCTGCAACGGGGTCCTGTAACAGTGAGTGAGTGAGTTAATTTTACGCCGCATTCAGCAATATTCCAGGTATATGGCGGCGGTCTGTAAATAATCGAGTGTGGACCAGACAATCCAATGATCAACAGCATGAGCATCGTTCTACGTAATTGGGAACCGATGACATATGTCAACCAAGTCAGCGAGCCTGACCACCCGATCCCGTTAGTCGCCTCTTACGACAAGCATGGGTTACTGAAGATGGATTCTAACCCGGATCTTCACGGGTCGGAACCTTGGACAGGGTGGTTAGGGTAATACAATTTCACAACGTGCGATTGGTTTAACGACTCTTTGATCAGTATTTTATGAGTGGCATAGTGCCTTTGGTAAATATAATCGTGGGCGTTTAAGATAGTTTATGACAACCACGAGCATGGGCATAAGGGTTACAACAGGTACGATACAGAAGGTATGTTACCAATGACAGTGAGTGAGTGAGTATGGTTATACTCCACTTTTAGCAATATTCCAACAATATCATGGCGGGGGACCCCAGAAATGGGCTTCACGTGTTATAGCCATGTTCGGAAACGAACTCGGCTTCCAGCGTGACGAAAGGACGCTTCAACCACTAGGCTACCCACCGCCCCACCAGTGACAGACGTGTTTAGGGTGAAACATCATTTTCACAAACGTGCAGAGGACAACGAATACTTTTAATTGCCATTTCTCCCCATGGAATTAAGAATTGACACGTAACCCCATCTCTTCAACAACCCATCTCTTCACAGCCCATCTCAATTGAACCTTTGCAAAAAGTGATATTATTTGTTCGTCTAAATAGATTTAACCTTGTATTGTTCTGTCACATGTAAAATATAGCATGAGTATCAGAACTGAAATTATCGTGATACCTTCATGGTTTCCTCGTAAATCTGAAAGTGTACTGGGATGTCAGGGTTTTCACCAAAGAACTTTTCAGCATCACGTAGGTTTTCAAACATCCCATTGCTGTCAACTGAAAGTAAAATAAATACTTGTTATACACAGGTACTGTAACATCACATAATGAGTAGCTAAATGTAAGTGTTCTGTACAGATGTGTCTGCACAATATAGAAGTGTCTACACTAAGGACCTGTCCACGCCAAGTAGGTCCCATTGGTATCAATTGAAACATAATACTACTTACACTTTGGCACTGTAAAAATTCAACGTGTCTATCTATTTATATATACCACCCATCAAAAGTTTAGACTCACTAGTGTAAATGTAGCCACTTACTTCAGTCAACTGTTTTAAAGTAGATTTTGAAAAATAATCCATACTGTTTAAAGGTACTGTTTACACATGAACTGATGTATTGTTAAACAAATTCGAATTTGTAACGTTGAAAATATTATTGTCATGCGTTCAATAAATGATGAAACTCAGTGAAAATTGGCAAATTCTTAACAAAATCAAAACGCAGCTGTTCACAAGCACGATATTTGCACATGCTTTACAGCAATTTGATGCATGATCCTCGTGCAATTCATCTGCATACGGTTTGCAGTTGGTTCCCCCAAGTTAGAGAAGAAATTCAACATTGATGTAACAATATATATGTACATAACATACAGTAAGTGCTTTAGGTGAGTCTAAACTTTTGATGGGTAGTATATATTCAAGAAAACATCTGTTCTTACCTTTCGCTACAGTGTATCTAATTGACTGTAATAATACATGATTACATATCTTTAATTAGTTTTGAAAACAACAACTAACGAACATCATATGTATCCATATTATGTATTCTCGAAAACTGAATTTCTTCGTCAAAATTATACTTGTACGAAACACATGGAATGTGATTAAGAGGGTACCTTTTCCTTCATAGAACAGATGGAGGAAGTCCTTAAACTTCCCAGTGTATCCTCCAGTTCCTCCTCCAAGGTATATATTGTAGAGAGACACAGCAACATCTTTTGGGTCTCTGACGTTGTAAATTATCTTGCTTTTTTTTTTCTAAGCTGTGTTGGCGCCAGAGACAGATTCATGTGAGTATTGATGACACGTGGTGAGGGCAGACAAGCCAGTTGGTCGCTTGTCCTAAATTCGAGCTGGTTCTTTCCCTTGAACTTTTGGATTGTCTCAGCATTCCCATTCAGTAGCATGGAGACCATTTCAAAGGTCCAGTGTGTACCAGAAATGAAAAGAAAATATTGATAACACAACTGTGTGATTCAGATAGCATGTATTCTCTATAGTGAGTGAGTAATGTAACGTGCATTTGTGAGACAGGGTATAACGTGAACGAACACGTGCTGTACGTGTGTGACTGCTTATGGTAGTCCAGATTTATGTCGGTGTTATAGTGCAAGCCAACTGATTACGCATGCCACAGTAAACCATGAATACCTCACCCTAACTCTGAAACGACCTGTCCTTGTTTAGTTGTTTATCACCGTAATGTGATAAGAAGTGTAAGAAGGCGCACCATGTTTGAGTGAATGAGTGTGTGTGTTTTACGCAGCTTTCAGCAATATTCCAGCAATATCACATTTGGGGAACACCAGAATAGGCGTCACACATTACACCCATATGGGAAATCGGGCGAACACTTTACCACTGGGCTACCCAACACAACAGAAATTGCAGACGTAAAAATAGGACGTGTGAGCTTAGATTAACGCCGCACTCTGCAATACTCCAGCAATATGGTGACGGTCTGTAAATAATCGAGTCTGGACCAGACAATCCAGTGATCAACAGCATGAGCATTTAACTTCGCAGCTGGGATATGATGACGTGTCAACCATGTCAGCGAGCCTGACCACCCGATCTCGTTAGTCGCCTCTTACGACTTGCATGGGTTATTGAAGATAAATTCTAACCCGGATCTTCAAGGGCCCCGTAAAAGTAAACCATATTGTTGCATGATTAATCATGCCATTGAGCAAGATACGATTCGTTAATCGGAGCCTGTCTATCAAATAATGAAGGTGTAACCAAGATATGCTAGACACATGATATATCGTTATGTGACGGTTCTAAAAACGTCATATATATATCGTATATTCATAATGCGCAAATGCTCATACCGTCACGTATAATAAGTTTGATCTGTATGACACGAGAGTCGCCAAGTCGACAATGCAAAGTACCTGTTCGTAGGAAAGCTGTCAAATATATATCACTCTCCCTCAGTTGGACATGTTTTATCTGCTTGAGCACTTGAGCCATGTAAGGGGTCCCATAGATCACGTTGTCAACCTTTTGCATCCTCATCGTGCTTCCTCCTGGGTCTGTCAGGACGACAATCTCCATCTCACTCTCATCAGAAACATCCTCCTCCTCATCGTACTGGGGCAGAAGAAGTGGCGTGATGACAAAGAACACCACAAAGCACGGTGACAGTTGTTTGTTTTTTTATTGATTGTTTGTTTAACGCCACATTCAGCAATATTCCAGCTATATGGCGGCGGTCTGTAAATAATCGAGCCTGGACCAGACCGTCTAGTGTTCCACATCATGAGCATCGATCTACGCAATTGGGATACGATAATATGTGTCAACCAAGTCAGCGAGCCTGCCCACTCGATCATGTTAGTCGCCTCTAACGACTAGCATGGATTTCTGAAGACCAAGTCTAACCCGGATCTTCACGGATCACGGTGAAAGGTGCCGACATAGATACAGACTTGGATACAGCGGAACGAAGAGCTCCACAGAGCCCGTAAATATTCGAATCTAACTGGCAATCTAGTAATTTGCTATAGTGAGTGAGTGAGTGTGTTGGGTTTTACACCGCTTTTGGTAATATTCTAGCAATATCCCGGCGGGGGACACCGGGAATGGGCTTCACACATTGTACTCATGTGGGGAATATAACCCCGGGCTTCGATGTGAAGAGCGAACGCTTTACCAATGGGCTACTCCACAAAAAGGGTTAATTATTACCGTAATTCGTTGTATGCAATAACGACTAAAATATACAGCAAGACACCGGGAGCATAACATATGTTGTTATATCCGTCTGTTGGTTTAACTTACGCTTTATACCATTCGGTTATAAGTTTCTTGTTATTCTTTCTCCTAATTAGTACAAGCTGTTTTCACTTCATTTTTCATCAAGGTTTTATTATTTTATTCATTACTTTTCTAAGTTTCCATATACAATACAATGAAAATACATCATTTTCATTGAAATAATTGACACCTATGATTTCTCTTTTTGGGGAGGGGCGGTGGGGTAGCCTAGTGGTTAAAGCGTTGGCTCGTCACGCCGAAGACCCGGGTTCGAATCCCCAAATGGGTACAATGAGTGAAGCCCATTTCTGGTGTCCCCCGCCGTGATATTGCTTTAATATTGCTAAAAGCGGCGTAAAACCAAACTCAGTCAGTCAGCCAGTCGTTTTGGGGAGGAGTCTTTCCTTTTGTACCTCATGGTCCCTCTTTAACATCAAATCAGAAGTGGACATTAAACCTATCAATTACTGATAATACAATTGTCTCACATGTTCCCAACAGAGCCCCCCAACCAACACAGCACACAACGCAGAACAAGGCGTTAGGCCATCCCTTCAAACGTGTACATTCCCTTTCCATATATTATGCTTGGTTGACTACGGTAATGAAAGTCATGACCCGTACTCAATTGTTCGTGTTTCATGTACCTGTGTGGCCAGCCTGCTCCGATTTCAGAATGAGCCGGCTTGTTTACAAACCTTGAAACGTTGAAATGGGGCGGAAACAAAAGATATCGTGGGGTCGCTGTTACATTCTGGAGTAGATTTACTCAAAGAAACCAGGTCATACCACTAGAACGGAGATTGAGTGAGTGAGTTAATATTTATCGTCACATCGACAATATTTGAGTTATATCGTGACGTGAACAATTAATTATTGTATTAGGGATCAATAAAAGTAGAAAATAAAGCCTGTTGATGAAGAACAGTAAATCAGCCAGTGTATCACAGATGTTAAAGTAAAACTAGCATGTTGTCATAAAACGATATTTTTATAGAGCACAATACAATATACAACCAGGCTATGGATTGCCAACAACTGAAGGTAGGTCACCATACTAGATGCTGACAGTACATTTGCTTCCTGCATGGACCCTAGCTGGATTTACACCATCCCTTCAGCTATTAGCAATTTTAGATAATCTAGCTACAAATTAAAAGAACACATATTCCACGATTAAAAATAATAGTAGGTTTAAATTTACCTTGAATGTTTTGGGACTTACGTTCCTTCTCAGGAGGACAATAATTTTACAATACTTCAACCCCCTTTAAGGGTACAACCACTAACAATCTCAGTTACTAATGTGAACTACCAATAATAAAATATTTATTTATTTACAAACCATTTATCAAAATTTATCTAGTCATTCTTTTAAAAATTGAATGATTAAATCAGATAATTAACATTGAAAAGATCCTTAACTGTTTTGACATTGAAGTATTGTCCCTTGTGATGGAAAAATGAATAGAGTCAAGAAGGACGTGCTTGACCTTGAGATCTGTGGTTGATGTCCTTCGAGTCGGTACCCTTGCAGCTGTGTCTGTCTAGATAAACAAGCTATCTCATGTCCATGTCACACATGCAGTTACAGCATGAATACGACTAACACTCGGCTAAATATAGACGGCGACCTGCACCTGGTTGAAATGATAAAGCAACTTTAGCGACGTACCGTAATTCTAGGGGATGTCATGTTCCTCTCCTTTACAGTTTTGTGTTAGACAACACCTAGACTCTGGAATACAACCCTACTGAAATGCGTGTCAGTTGTACATTCAATAGCCTTTCCATAAAACATACCATCAGCGTCACAATGTGAATCGCTTAATGCTTGTGTAGCTTCCATTCATTTGGGATTTCATAAAAGTCGACTCGGTGAAGGTCAACAGGTTCTACAAAAATAGATAGCGGGATATCAAAACGAAATCTGTGCATACATTTTGTCATGAATGTGGTTTGCGCTATGTGTGTACCCGTCTATATGTTACAAGGAATATGTATAATCAGGGAATATGTGTAATTTCTGATTCACTCAGGGAATATACATAATACCTAACACTTTCAGGAATTATACATATTCCCTGGTTCTAGGAGAGTTTTTTTAGACATAATTCCTGATACTGTTTGAAGTTTAAATGTTTAACTTATCATTGTAGCACCTCCAGTTTTTTATGGATTTTCTCATATATATAGTATAACAGTTTCAAAGCAAACAAGATCTCCAGGTATTTCATTTATTTTTACATGTAACAGAAGAATGGCATCTTGAATTGCACAAAACTTTAGCCTTAAAACATGTACAGCGGTTTGTTTGGCATGTTTTTGACCCAGCACAATTACAACGGACCAATCCTTGACCACCAAAGTTAGACTCGAACTGAACAGCTTGTCGAAGTGAAATATTTTTGTCCTTGGCAACGTCAACACCGTTAAGGGCAGTAGCACAAACATCAAGCACGTGATTATACATATTTCCTGTGACATATATTCAAAGCAAATGATCTACCAAATAGTATTACATCTTAACGTGATACTGTGACTTGAATTTTACTTTAAGAACTATAAGAAAGGTAAGATGCTTTATGGATGACCGCTTCTTTACCATAGTATGATGCGACGCTTCGGTATTAGACTTGCTCAAGTCTATAAGGTAAAAATTGATAGTTTAAATGATAATTTCTAAAAATAATGAATATAGACTAGACTATCTGGACTTGCCTCTTCTTAGGATAGAATTACTGCTGTTGATCACTGGATTGTCTGGTCCAGACTCGATTGTTTACAGACCGCCGCCACATAGCTGGAATATTGCTGAGTGCGGCGTAAAACTAATCTCACTCACTCAATGTGTGTGTGCGCGTGAGTGAGAGAGTGCGTGACATGTTGTTATACTTGACATGTATACTAAGTGTTTCAAGTAAATTGGTCCTGCCAGATGAAAGCGGGAGCGGAAACAAAACGTAATCATTGAAATTCCTAGTAAGCGTGTGTCTGTCTCGAGCATTTGAAGACTTTATACCTTCCCACAGACAGTACTTTATAAGGTGTTCACTGGTCACGAGGGGGGCATGGGTTGATGTATCCTCGATGTTTGTTTATGTTCCCTCAGCCGGAAGGGCGAGGGGAACATAAACAAACATCGAGGGTACATCAACCCATGGGCCCCGAGGGACCAGTGAACAATGTATTTTTATCTTACCGAACACCTTAATGTTAATTTTGATTTGTTTGAAGCCCGGGTACAAATCTTTTTGTAGCCATCGCTAGATTTTGCTGACAAGAAAAACAGATTTAGAGTTATCGCCCTTCCATCGATTTGCATTCGCACAACATCGGTAATTTCCGTACATCATACGTGATTCAATGTTATTCGAGATACCAATCACTACCACGAAGTACCAAATGAGTTGCCATTGACAGCGGGGTACATTGAAATGTTACTCGCTAGTAAGCGGGGTACATTGAAAATAATAGAAGAGCGCTCAGCCAATCAGAAAGCGACATTTATGTGTGAGGTAAGATAAACGTTCATGCACGTTTATCCCGGTAGATGGTTTCTGTGTCTGCATACACAGGAAATGAACAGGTGTGCTAGCATTTTGCTAAATACAACTAGTGATGATAATCGTTAAATAACAAGAGACTAGTAAATAAATAATTATGTATTGACCACAGTATCGTTCTTCTGAACATGAATATAAAGCAGAAGTAACCACAACAACAAACCTAACTATTCACAGAGAACACTACACAACCGCATTAAACGCATATAACGTAGATTCTTAATAACATAGCCATTTGTAGTTATTCGATGGACATTTGACAAACATATATTTCTTTCCAATAATCATTTTGAGGTGTCTCAAGTAACACTGAAATTTCTACGAAAATCGCTAGTAATTCGTCTCATAGTTCAAACATTATTATTTATCAGTTTAGCTGATAATGAAAATCATTAATGACACAAATAAATGGTTGTCTAAGTTTCACAAATGGTATTAATTTAACAATTAATTGTAATGTCTACAATGAACCAAGAGGAGCGAAATGACCACATCACCCCATCCTGACACTTCAGTTTATTTGGCAGTTCGTTCTTCGTCTGTCACTTTTGTACTGCATTACACGGTTGTGTTGTATATGTTTAATGTGTTTCTGTTCAGGTTTTTAGTTATTAACACCTTCTTTGGCTTGCTACAAACACAACAGCCCTGATTACGAGAACATGGCCAGTAGCAGTGTCCAGCGGACTTTTAACGTCATCGATGACGCCGGTCATCTAGATTCGGCAACGTTGACCTTCGTTAAAACAGGTATTAACACTACCACGATGCCATACCGTCAGTTGTATACAACAACACTACTGAAGATTCCGACAGTTATACCAGACATATTTCAAGATTAGGACATACATTGGAATCGTTATATAATATGTGTCCTTTGACAGTAGCAATTCTGATTAGTGTGATCATGTTAGCCAATGTGCCTTCGATTAGTAAGTAACTTGACCATTCCAACAGAACCATTTTTTCCGTGGAATCCCAATATTACAGTATGATGGTAATGGTCAGCCATGGTCACATGGTAATGGTCACTCCCAAAGTGTTAGTATTTACTCCTGGCATACAAATCATAGAATCTGGTCCCCACCAGCTTTTCTTCGTACACTCTGTAGTAATCGTCCAACATCTGCTCGTTGTAATAGTTCTTCCAGTCGCCAACGATTCCTATGGAAAGACAATGTCGTATAAAGGATGAACATTTATATATAGATATCAACTTCGGTAATCTTGGAAACATGACGTTTCGGAGTATGTTCTTACTCCTTCATCACTTGGTTTGCTGAACCATCGCCTGATGAAGAAATAAGTACATACTCCGAAACATCGTGCTCCCTCAGATGTGCGTCACCAGTAAAACGTTTACTGTTGGAGAGCAGCAAAAGATAGTCCTCAGGAAATTACCTTTTCTGTAAAGAAAATTTTCACCATCCAGTTTTATTGCAAAGGGCTCCTTGTCGATTTTCATTCTTGTAAAGGTGCATTTTTCTGCAATGGCTCGGCAAAGGTTGTCATCTCTTTGAAGCCCGAGGAAATCGGACAGAGCTTGTACAGCACGTACAGGATCCTTAGAAAAGAAAGGATACATCTTGTATGGAATCGCAAAGGTACAAACTATGTTAATTTTCAAGCTAACGCACACATGCAGGCACACGCACGCACACACACACACACGCACACGCATTGACGTTGTATATATGCAAACATGTTGTTGGTAAGTAATCATTGAAAACAGAATAAAATCGAATAAACGAGAATACATATCATTTCCGCCGTGGTCTCATCTACGAGGCTTCCTACCTTCATGGCATCTTCATAACATTGGAAGTGAACTGGAATATCGGGATGGTGACTGAAATATTCCTCGGCGTCTCTCCAGTGTTCAAATATGCCATTATTTTCCACTGAAGCAAAATCGAAAACCTGTTCCCTGTACAAAGTCAGCGAATAGCAAAAACATCTAAGTAAATCAGAGAAATGACTGGACATAAACATCGTACAAATCAACCTGGGATGAACTAACTGTTATTGCATACATAACGTGCCATAACAAGATCACCGATGAATAAAGCGTTTCACACCTTCTGGGACTATTGGTTTCCTTTAACACCAATACTGTGGCGTGCATGAGTGAGTTTGGTTATTCCGAATTGAACAATATTTCAGCAATATCAACGGCGACGACAACAGTGTGAGTCTGTTTGTTTGTTTGTTGATTACGTTCAATTTTCAGCTGTTCAAAGGTTATCTGTAAATAATCGAGTCTCTACCAGACACTCCAGTGGACAACATCAGCATCGAGTTACGCAATTTGGAAACGATGCATCAACCAAATCAGCGATCCTGACCACCTGATACCGTTAGTTGCCTCTTATGAGAAGCATGGGTTGCTGAATACCTATTCTAAAACGGATTGTCACGGTTCACCATGGTTAGAGATTAAGTAAATTATTGAAGTCGCATTGGCAAAATGTATTTCCAAATGTTATAAACGAGCTGTAAGTCACTAGCAACTAACACTGGGCCACCTTGGGATCATGAGGTCTTACGGTACATGATACCACAACAGGAATGGAAGGAACCTGGTCCGTCGGCGTTATGCACTTATTTACATACTTTAAAGCTAAAATGTTGTTAACATATTGATAACCCAGTTACTTTGGGGATAATTTGATCAAAATAGACTATATTCCCTTGTCAATGTTTTAAGTAGTTACATTCTAAAGCGTGAAAAACATGTCAGACCTTTTCCATCCAAGTAGAGGTGAAGATAATCCTCGAAGGATCCCTGATATCTACCATGGGGCATTGGTCTGTTGTGAATGAGTTTGTACAGAGAGAATGCAGCATCTTTTGGGTCTCTCAGGGTAAAAATGACTTTGCAATTGAGGGCTGCTACATCATCTGGAGAGTGGGACATTTTCAGGTGTGCGTTGATGACACGTGGTGATGGCCGATGGGCCAGTTCTTCAGGGGAGTTAACTCAATGAGATCTTTGGCTCTTTGGATGGTTTCAGCTTTACCATTAAGAAGCATGCTTGTCATTTCGAACGTCCAGTTTGTTCCTTTGAAAAACGAAAAGAATATGTTGAATTTTGTTACAGCTCATGTATGTTTAATCATCAAAGTCAAGGTCAAGTACACGTTGAGTTGATATAGAAGAGGAATTTACTATATGCGTTACTTTATCAACATGAAGTGTGATTCTACCCCTGATATCACAAGATGGTATGGTTGATATTGGATTGATACGTTGCCTCCATCGTATGGCAGGAGTATTGCTCCTGGTACTATGTGTGGGCAACATTCAAACACTTTGTACGAAGAAGTTGGTTCTACCAGTCACTCCTTAACAAATTTCGTCACTCCTTAACAAATTTCTTTTGACCGATAATCGATATTCTCTATTTCACTTAGATCAGCGTTTTACATTTACCTGTACGGGGAAATCCGGTGAAGTATATATCATCTGGCCTCATGCAGAAACCTTGGATTTGTTGAAGTATTTCAATTTTATACATAGGTATAAGATGTACTCCACGGAAAAGTTGATATTTCATACTGTGGCCACCTCGATCTGTTACTGTAACGATGTGTTGTCCACTGAAATCCATGTGAAACTTCTGCTCATCTATCTGTTAAAACGTTAAAGGTAAATAATTTAGTAGTCCTCAGTGAAGACAGTCACAGTTTTGAACTAAGAGCGGCAAAATCCTTTCCGCACCCCAAAAAATCCATTCGATTGCTATCTGTACGAGCTAAGTCGATGGTACAAGCCACAACAACAGAGAAATGTTTCGTCATGCGGTCATAATTTACGAATTAGGTGACTGCTGACATCTCTGGAATCCGTACATAACAGTAACGATGACCTGCTGAAATCCAGGTTACCATGGAAATATCCCCAAATGCTGATATAACATTATTAGTCCGCTGAAATCTGTCTGCTGAATTCCTGGTTACCATCGAACGTCTTGCTCAAGTCCACATACTATTATTAATATGTTTTACAGATGAAACTGCAGCTGTGATCCTGGCACAGTTAGGCTGGTAAGGCTCATTATCAGCTCAGGGCCCTTGCCCCCTCTACATGCAGCCCAGACAGCGAACGGGACTTCTCCCAGGAAACGCTGCCTAGTTTGAACCCACCAAGAATTTTCTGGAGAATATGAAGGCTCCCCAACACTGCAGCCTTCTGCCTTACCCAGAGTGTCAGAGGGGCTGTACTCCCAGTAGAGAACCCGGGCACTCTCCTGATCTGCGCCAAGAGATCAGGAGGTACCAAACCAAGGGCTCCGAGCACAATGGTGAGCCTGACGACAGTGTACTTGGGATGCAAGTGAGACATTTCAAAGGCGAGGTCCGAATACTTAGTAATACTATGCTTTTCCTGAATCTTGGCAATCACATTGGTGTCAAAAGGGACAGAAAATTCAATGATATATATAAATTCATTGGCTTTATCAAAAAGGACAAGATCAGGTTTGTTGGCTGGAATTCTGTATATGGGCCTATTCCACAGACGTTTGAAAGCATCATTTTCCATGACATGTTCAGGGTCGTACCATGGATGGACCTCGGAGTCAAAGCCACAGGCATGTCGGAGACGGTAGTAAAAGCAGCGAGCCATGCCATCATGTCGTTTAAGATATGCTGTTTATGCCAAGTAAGGGCATCCACTGACAAGGTGTTGGACAGTCTCTGTGAATTTATTGCAAAGTCGACATTTTCTTTAAGAATCACGTTTAGGCGATTGCGAGTGGGAAGTGACTGGTCCTGAGCAGCAAAAAGGAAGCCCTCAGTTTAACATTTAAGACCAGCCGACTTCATCCAGGCGAAGGAGTCGGTGGGATTGCTATTCTGTTCAACACACTGCATGTACACACGATGCAATGGCTTCTCAGAAAGCTTCTCCACAAAAGACCGACTCTGGGCAGACTTGGTGAAGGACTTCACCTGGTTTACTCCCATCACTGTACCGTCCAGCAGTACATCACCATCAACAAAATCAACCTCAAATCTCAGATTCTGTCCAACAACCTTGGCACGCTTAAAATAGCTGTGGAATTCCTTGCTTTCATCATGAGTCTTCACATGCATCACTAGAGGATCATCCGATAAATAAATATGTGCAAAAGTACACAATAAAATTCTATCTTGAAGAGCCTCCACATTAATCAAACCCCGACCTCCAGAATTGATTGGCATGTATAAACGGTTAAGAGAGCTCGAGGAACGAGGGTGGTGGCTCTGTTATCAGACATGATCCTTCTGGTCAGACGGTCAAGACTCTGGATGTCTTGTTTTGTCCAATCAACTACTCCAAAGGAATAGGAAAGGACTGGCACAGCAAAAGTATTGGTGGCTTTGACCTTGTTTCGAGCATTTAGCTCTGAGCTCCAGATTTTCTTTAAACGAGATTTGTACTCGGCCCGAAGTTTGTCTTGAATCTGGGCATTCTGGAGCTTGTCTCGAACTTGCATTCCAAGATAGATGTAGGCCTGATCTTCCACAAGATGCTCAATAACTCCTCCCCCTTGTAACTTGACCGATCCGTCATTAGTTACCTTGCCACGTTTCAAATGAAGAGTATTACATTTGTCAAGTCCAAATGTCATGCCAATATCATTAGAAAAGGACTCGACAAGGAGAACCTGCTCTTTCAAATTGGAATCACCTTTGGCAAGGAGCTCGATGTCATCCATGTAAAGGAGATGAGTAAGAGGTGTAACGGATCTGTGCTGAGGAGGTCCGGGATGGTAACCCTCCTCTTTATTGAGCAGAAAGCTCAAAGGATTTAAAGACAGACAAAAAAGCAAAGGACTAAAGGAATCCCCCTGATATATTCCCCTTCTGATTGGAATAGATTCCGAAGTCTGCACCTGCCCTTGCGAGTACATCTCAAGTTGAGTCGACCAGCAACTCATTAAAGACTTGAGTAAATCAAGTAGTCCCTCAGGGAGGTCAATACAATGAAGAGACTTCAGAATCCATTCGTGAGGGACAGAGTCGTATGTTGGTTTTTTTGTAGTCAATCCAGCACATGGAGAGGTTGCGGTGATATGTTTTAGCCTCTTTCAAAATCATTTTCTGTACAAGAAGTTGATCCTTGCACCCCAACATCCCTTTCTTACTCCCTTCTGCTCTCTGTAAATTATATCATTCGAAGAGCAGTAAGATGACACGAGTTTTTTTTTTTAACACTTTTCAGGCAATCTGGTGAGATGTAACAGACAAACGACCTAGTTACCTTCTCATGCATTGCATGGCCATAATCACGGACCCATGGTGCCTCAAGGTTACTGTTGCCGGGTACAGACCACAACTGTTTCCAGACCCTTTCATCGGGATCCATGGGAGGCCATTTGTCATGTTCACCATCACCCTTTGTTTTCAGTTGCCGGTGCTTTTCATTGTTTCTAAAAAGTTTATTTTGTTTGATGAATTTATTTTTCTTTTCCCATTTTTTTCTTTCTTTCAGTCCAAACCTTTATTTTTGCCTTCAGGGAATCGACAATTTGGAGAAGTATCTTTTCTTTCGTTGTTTTGTATTTCAGTTTTAATTTTCTCCAAATTGCCCTTCGTTTAGACATAAGATTCCCTGATGATCTTAACTTCAGGCAAAGCTCTATCCAGGAAATGTATTTTCTAGTTTCTGTTAGCATCACTTGAAACCGTTTTTTCTTTGGTGTATTGTTCTTAGTATTGGCTGTGTTTTCTTTGGAAACTGTGTGAAGTTCCTCCAAGGTTCGAGCGGCAGCATAGACACAACAATTAACTTCATGCAATGAACAGTCCACAGAAAGTTTCATAGAAATAATGTCATTAATAAATTAATTTCATTTTTGGGAAAATATTCTGTTATTTGTTTAATTGGCCTCCGTTTTTGTAAAGGTAAATCAGATATTTCATCATAAATAGAATAAAACAAAATATACACAGGATTTTCGGAAAGATCTGCAACTGAGGAAGAAGAAGAAGAATGAGGATCCGAAATTTCGGGGCCAACTGGCTCTGTGCCGGAAGAGTTTCCATCAGGAAGAGGAGAGAGGTTAACACGGACGTCCATCAGAAATTTTGGGTCTGCTGCCACTTGAGCATTCTGCTCATGCAAAGGTTCCTGACGGGCACCGGTTATGGGCTGAACTGGCTCACGGGGCATGAGATTTTTAAGCCGCCGGAATTGATCTCGGAGATTTTGCTCCGTCAGGAAAGCATACATGGGCATGGCATTGTCCCAATGCAGCTTAAGCGACTTGTCGTTTATTCGTGGATGTGCAGGCCATCCTGTCGCTCTTGCACACTCTAGTAGTGTGATTTTCAGATGGTTTGACCAAGATATTCTTGATCGGGTGCTGTGCCTTCCCCTGGGGCAAGTATTAGATATACCCACACTTTCCGAGGTGTGCCGCTCAATACCCTACTGTTTGAGTCGTGTGGCCTCCGAGGCGTTAGCCGAGGAGACCACACGACTCAAACAGTAGGGGTATTGGGCGACACACCGAGGAAGTGTGGGTACATCTGACTTATACCTCACTTCTGGTCGAGTTACGAGTTTATTATAACACTTTATGTTCTAATTATGACAATTTTTTTTATTTCTTTTCTATCTGTTTCATTTATTTTTAGCCCACTGGTTAAGACCCTCAAATGTCCCGCGTCTATAGTCTGTTTGCAGTGAAACCTACCGATCAATTTCACTTTAAACAAAAAAGTACTCAAATAAGTGAAATTAAGATTGCGAATCTCATAATTTGACCTTGCCAAATGAACATCTCAGAATTATATTCAACTTAGAATAAAATTTGTTTAACAAATGATCATAGTTTCAAATCAATATTATTGGTTTGTATTACAATTTTAGGGGGGTAAGCGCAGTAGTTGGAACAGTGAAACAAATGCCCGTGCGGTACGTAACAAGCGTTAACTTCTACCAAACCTGCATGTTCTGGGTGTTTCATTTAATGCGCATACCCCATTGTAATACAAACCAATAACAGCGCTTTGAAACTATGATCGTTTGTTAAACAACTTTTATCCTAAGCTGAATATAATTCTGAGATTTAAATGTTCAATAGGCAAGGTAAAATTATGGGCATTTGCAATCTTAGTTTCACTTTATTTGATTTACTTTTTTAAAGTGATATTCATCGGTACGTTTTCACTGCAAATAGACTATAAGCAGTCGATTGCACGTGCATGCACGGGCTTGCACGATTCCACGATTTTAAACACCAGTTCGGGCGCGAGAATGACTTCAAGTAGCCCCAAATATGCGCAATATTACTGATAATTGACATTTGTATGGGCAGGCCAATGCGCATGCGTTCTCTGACTCGCATGTGGCATAGAAAACATTTGGAAGATCACACGTTCGTTCGCCATGGATGCTGAAGAGTGGACAGAGGATTTTCTTTCTCAAATTGACAGTTCGTTAGCGTCACATTTCGACCTGGATGATAAGGAAGATTTTGAAACAATCGAAATCTCAATGTGAGTCCATTGAAATAAAATTATATTTCGCCGTTTGTTGTGTCTTTATTGCTTCGGTATACCCTAGTGAAAAGTGTAGGTGTATCATTGATACACCTACACTTTTGACAGGTGTACCGGTCAATACACCTACACTTTTAACAAAGGAAACCATGACAACGAGACCGGAAGTGGGGTATAAGTCCCATCTCCAGTAAGGTTGGTTTGACTACCGGAGGAAGGATGACTGGGCTGTGGAGTTGAATGATGATATTCTCCTTGGCTTTCGGTAACCCAGTGTAAAACCAGCTTCGGTGGGTCAGCCCTAACTAGGTGATGTACGTTTAGTTCAGGGAATAAAATTCCCCTATCTAGGCCCACCACGGAGAGGCGTACATCATCAGGCATTATTTCATTCATTTTATTATTATTGGATATTTATATAGCGCATATATCCACGCTCTAGTGCATGCTCATGGCGCTGGTATTTTTTCCCTCGATCATTGGATGTCAATCTCAACGGCAGATGTTGTTACCAATCTCAGCTCCCTGGGGAGCATACAAATTTTGCTGGTTTGCTGCCACAAGGCGCACCGAGTTATTGCAACTGTCCAATCTTCATGAGGTACCCATTCACAGCTGGGTGGACTGGAACACATATTCACAGTACTTTCTCCCGCAACTAGGTGTTTGCACGTATTCATGTTGCCAACGGATTCGTGGGTTCTTTTAAGTGAACAAGGTTGTGTACTATACACTAGGGGTTGTGACATAACTGAAAGACTCTGCACACAAAGTTGACTCCAAGGTTGTTTACACCCGGTCACAGGTGGGCTCGATCCCGGCACTCATGCTCGCTGGATCACTAGCCTGTCGCCTTAGCCAGCTCGCCCACTACAACCCCTATTGAAATCACTCACTTTGGACACATATTAGCTTCTACGTGTTTGTACGGGAGACAATGGGCGAGACAAACAGTGACGATAGCTGCGCCTTTACGACATACAACCTTTGCCACACTGATGAGAAAGGATAATTCATCACAGTATCTGTGTCAATGATCAGCTGAACAATGCATTACAGTAAGAAAAGAGCATTTCTTTGTATTACTTACAGTGAATGTTCCCTCTGCATTCTTTACCTCCGCCATTTTGATGTTTGCACTATGATGCACTGAGTATCTACATTGTGCATGCCCTATTTCTTCTGAATTTTTGGTTACCGTATACGTTCTAATAATAATTGTTTTGTGTCTGTCTCTGTGTGTGTCTGAGAGAGAGAGAGAGAGAGAGAGAGAGAGAGAGAGAGAGAGGAGATGAAAGGAGGTACGATGCGCGTAATAATTGAAATTTCACTCCAAGTAAGTGTGTGTCTGTCATTATCACTTGAAGGTTTGGATTATGTCTTCAGGTTATAAGTCATCGAGTGTTGCCGTTGTAAATTCATCAGTTATCTGACCACAGTGACGTTAACCTGACAAGAAACTAAGGCAGAAGAAACCAAAACAACAAACCCAGCTAACCAAAGAGAACACTTCACAATCGCATTACACTGGCATATAACGTATATTCCCAATAACATAGCCAGTTGTAATTATTCGATGAACAATCAATAAACTTACAAATCATCCACAAAATCATTCCATGATAACTGCAATGTGTCTCAAGCTGCACTGAAAGTTCTACGAAACTGCTTGTAAAACGTCAGATTCTGTTTTCATCCGAAACATTGGAAGAAGAATCGTATCCCGAATAGTCGAGCTCGACACGGGTTCCAACGTATTTTATGAATTCGGTATGACTTTTGAAAACCTCTTATCTTGTTCTTTCGATGGTAGAAGGTCTCACGAGACGTGGAGTATTGTCGTATAAAGCATTTATAGATCTTTGTAGCCATAGGCATCTCCACATTACTACTTTATACGGTAAATCAGTTGCGGTAAAGATAATCATGCATAATATCATACTCCCTTGGCCCGAGAAATGAAGCTGCGCTCAGGCCATTATCAGCGTCGTGGGACGGCTGGGCAAAATATTATTCTGCAATATAAAGGGAAACAGGACATGCTCTGTTCTGGATAGCATGTGCTTGTTGGTATTTATGTATTCCCCACAGCCTGGAACATTATGATAACCAGGTTGCAATGTACAGTCATACAGTCTTGTAATTATGATAAAGTGCTTCAAACCACAACTATTTTGCCTAAGAAAAACCAATGCTCTGGATGCAGATTTAACCTTTTCCCTTGCAGGATTACGTAGAACACAGTTCACACTTAACCATAGCCTGAGATATCTGTAGTCATCAGCATTGGCGAATTCCACGTGACCACTTCACCGCTTCTCGGCCTGAAATGTAAACAGCTCCCTCTCCACAGTCTGTTGAGTAGTAATTATTGACTGTGGGCCTCTGGACTCGGCAAAACTATATCTTCAGCGTGCAGCAGCACGGCTACATCGATGTGATCATGAATCGGACTTTATTTTACTTCCATAGCAAGACTTTTGATATTTATAGGGAACAAAGTGGACGACAACACACGTCCTTGTTTAACACCTGACTGTACAGGAAAGGTATTACTTTCATATTGGTTAATATATCACTGGATATACCGGATATACCGGGTCACTGACTTCTGTTGGGATGGGTTTTATCTTGCCTGTATTCCAGATACCAGGTTTGCTTCCTGTCACGAATCTTTGGGAGATAACTCTGTTCAGCATCGGTGCATTCTTTAGTACAACACTTGGAATATCATGAAACCTCGCTGTTTCCTGAACTTTAGCTCAGCATTTTTCATAATCCACCTCTCCACTGGTGCCTACTGTGTTTAAAACATGCAAAAACTAGGCTCATCCACAATCTTCATTTTAAGGCTATTTTTAACTGATTCATATTATTCACAGCCTTCATGTTGATGTATTGTTGCAATTAGCTTTATGGAACACCAAGGAAATTGATAAAATAACTATCGTTTGTTCATTCCATATAGCTCATCTATATTTTCTGGAGAGGAATACACATTATGCATACATGTAAAGCACACAAATCATCACCTCCATTGCTATGGACTTTTTAACATTGCCAATTGTCACAGATCGCATAAACGCAAAGAAACAACAATCACTGGCAATGTTGTAAACGCCAACGGCGCAAAGCCATCTGAAAGACAACTTACCTGGTCCATATTCTGGAGGTCAACCCCTTTTAGGGGGGTTTTCAACGTAACTGACGACGACGGGGACATATGGTATTACTCGTGAGCGATAGTGTACAAGTTCTTATTAGTGTAATATTGCTAACAAATGTGTCGCCAATAATATAATGTTTTAACCATTTGAATAGACATATTTTGGGATAAAATCCAAAGATTACTGTCCATTTGAAAACCTAAAAGAAAAGAAAAAGCCTAAACTGTCAGATATATATATTTCTGACATAAGTATCATAGAACATGGACCCTGCCATCTTTTCTTCGTACACTCTGTAGCAATCTTTCAACATCTATTCATTGAATAAGTTCTACCAGTCACCACCGAATCCTGGGAAATACAAGGTCGGTTGTGATATTTAAACAACATTCCGGTGTGTGGTGGTGTGAGGTCTTGCGCGTACAGCCCAGGTCACAAATCAGTTGACATTAAGCAATTTTGGGCGCAGAGAGTCCTTGAGTGGGTGACCGTGCTTGGCAGCTTGACTCCTGAGTGTGTCCTTGACTTCAGTCCTGCCACCTTAGGCAACTGAGTTTGAGTTTGTTCAAACTTGTCTCTGTTCACCCAGCAGAAAATGGGTATCCAGTGGGACTATTAACCTTTTAGCGTCTCAGCTTGGGTTATCCAGGGTAATAATCAGATTTTCTGTTAGCGTCTTGATCATGTGCCTTGTACATGGAAAAACGCATTACAAATTCACAATTATTATTCTAGATATAGACGTTCTGGTAAGGCATCCTTCGAATGGTTAAAAGGGGATATATTTTACTTGCATCCACTTCAGGGGCACCTTTTGTATCAAGTCGTTGTGTTAAAAGACTTGTGAATAATTTCGTCAATTTAACACAATTACGTCCCAATTATCTAAAATATCAGTGTCACGAAATTATCTTTTTCCACATTCAGTTTCATTGCGAAGTTTCCTTAGTCGATTTTCATTCTGGAAATGGTGCACTTTTTGCAATTTCTCGGCAAAGACCTTTTGCAGCCCGAGGGCGATGTCAATCACTCGATTGTCTGCTTCAGATTTGAGTATGTACAGACCCTCGAGCCAGAGCTGGAATATTGCCGGAATTCAGCATTAAACAACAAACACACTGTGAATCCCAGCGGCTGTTAAAATAATAATATAGCAAAACTGTATATTGTATTTTTATTCTTTTCGTATCGTTTCATGCTTTTGTACATTTTTTCAAAGATATTGTCGCTTCTAGCTAGGTTACTGACACGCTGTTAATTTACAGTTCAAAGCAGCAACGTCCGCACTTACAAATAAAGTTAGATAAGGTCAGACAAGGATAAACAAGGACCAAGCTCTAATAACGAAATTAATATTCTTTTTATCAAATCGATGTTCAGGATGTTAATCACTTGACTGTCTGGATTTGACTGGAATATTCACAGACCACCTTCATGTAAGCGGACGTTGAACTGACAAATATGTAAATCCAGACCAACAGCTATTTTCCTGCTGTACTTTGAACAAAGATCGATTACTTAGTAGTCAAAAATAGTATATTCGTCTCATAATGCAAACTTTATTGTTTATCAGTTTATCTGATAATGGAAATCATTAATAACACAAACAGTTCTCTAAGTTTCACAAATTGTATTGATTTAACAATTAATGTAATGTAATTGTAAAGTCTAAAATGAACAACAGGAGCGAAATGACCACATCACCCTACCCTGACACTTCAGCAAGGACAGTAACAGTCTCCAGCTGATCTTCAACGTCATTGATGATGTAGGTAATCTGGATCGACAACCTTGACATTTGTTGAAACAGGTATTAACACCACCACGGTACCATACCGTCAGTTGTATACAAACATCACTCCTGAAGAGTCTGGCAGTTTTAACTATTTAATACATCTGCGTTTTGTGCTGAGTTTCTGAACAAAAGGACCTGTTTCGTTTGTGCCAAGTACGTCTATTTCGTTCACCTAAATAAAGAACATAGTCACAGTTTCATTCTTGTATAGATTAAACAGTTATAGCAAATTAGTCCATTTATATATAAAAGTGTAGCTTGTGTTTTTCTGAGATGCAAAAATAATTTTAGCCTTTTAATTTGTAACGTAAAATGTACAAAATATTGCAACAACCATTCTATTTGTCACTTCTATTTAAAAGTAACTCAATGTGATAAAATGATGAGTTGTAACATGTTTTAATTGATTTCAATAGTCAAGGTACCAACGCGATCTTTTAGATAACTAACGCTGTACAAGACACATTTCTAGATTAGGACATACATTGGAATCGATATATAATATGTCTCCTTGGCAGTAGCAATTCTACTTAGTGTGATCATGTTAACCAATGTGCTTTCGATTAGAAAGTAACTTGACCATTCCAACAGAACCCTTTTCCATTGAATCCCAATATTACAGTATCATGGTAATGGTCACATGGTAATGGTCACTCCCAAAGTGTTAGTATTTACTCCTGGCATACAGATCATAGAATCTGGTCCCCGCCAGCTTTTCTTCGTACACTCTGTAGTAATCGTGCAACATCTGCTCGTTGTAATAGTTCTTCCAGTCGCCAACGATTCCTGGGAAAGATAATGTCGTATAAAGGGCGAACATTTATGGATATCAACTTGTGTAATCTTGGGAACATGACGTTTCGGAGAATGTTCTTACTTCTTCATCACCTGCTGAACCATCACCTGGTTAAGAAGTAAGTACATACTCCAAAACATCGTGTTCCCTCAGATGTGCGTCACTAAGAAAACGTTTACTGTTGGAGAGCAAGAAAAGTCACGAAATTACCTTTTCTGTAAAGGACATTTTCACCATCCATTTTTATTGCGAAGGGCACCTTGTCGATTTTCATTCTAGAAAAGGTGCATTTTTCTACAATGGCTCGGCAAAGGTTGTCATCTCTTTGAAGACCGAGGAAGTCAGACAGAGCGTGTACAGCACTTACAGGATCCTCAGGTAAGAAAGGATAAATCGTGTAAGAAATCGAAACGTACAAACTATGTAAAGATTCAAGCTTACATTATACCCATGCACGCACACACACACGCACACGACACACTCATTGCATTGCAGTGACGTTTTATATCTGTACATATGTCGTTGTAAGTAAAAATTGAAAACAGAATCAAATCGAATAAACGAGAATATTATATTATTTCCTCCACGGTCTCATATGACCATGATATTTTACAGCAACAACAGCAACCGTTAGGCTATATAAGTAGGACTGTCTTAGCGCTAAGACTATTTTATCTACGATGCTTCCTACCTTAATGGCGTCTTCATAACACTGGAAGTGAACTGGAATATCAGGATGGTGACTGAAATATTCCTCGGCGTCTTTCAAGTGTTCAAATATGCCATTATAATCCACTGAAGCAAATTCGAAATGTTCTCTGTACAAGGTCAGGGAAATAGCAACAAGAACTAAGTAATCAGAGAAATGACTGGTACAAATCAACCTAGGATGAACTAACTTTCATGGGAGTTGGGATTCACTGCATGCATAGTGTACAGTTGCCATAACACACCTTCTGAAATTGTTGGTTTCCTTTAACAACATCACTATGGTGTGCACGAATGATTATGGTTGAACAATATTCCAGCAATATCAACGGCGAAGACACATGTGTGAGTGTCTGTTTGATTGTTGAGTAAGTCCGCACTCAACAACTTTTCCACTGTGTGATGGATGTCTACAAATAATCGAATCAGGACCAGACACTCCAGTGGTGCGACACATTGAGCATCGAGTTACACAATTGGGATACGATGCACCAACCAAATCAGTGAGCCTGGCCATCGGATACCTTTAGTTGCCTCTTAAACAAGGCGAATGATAAACACAACACAATATCCAAACCAAAGAGGTAACATATCAGTTGTGTTTACAAGTGTCAAAACTGACTGTAAGGTACCAGCAACAAAACTGCACCACCTTTGGATCATGAGGACTTAAGGTCCGTGATACCATTAGAGGAATGGAAGGAATTGAACCTAGTCCATCGGCGTTATGTGCTTATTTTCATACTTAACATCCGAAATGTTATGAACATATTCATATCAGTTGGTATGAATTGGGATGTAAGATATACATTGGGGATAATTTGAACAAAATAGAACTATATTCGATTGCCAATTATTTAAGCAGCTGCAGTGAGAAATGTGAAGAACATTTCAGACCTTTTTCATCCAAGTAGAGGTGAAGATAATCCTCAAAGGATCCCTGATATCTACCATAGGGCGAGGGTCTGTCGTGAATGAGTTTGTACAAAGATAGGGCAGCATCCTTTGGGTCTCTCAGGGTAAAGATGACTTTGCACTTGAGGGCTGCTACATCATCTGGAGAGTGGGACATTTTCATGTGTGCGTTGATGACACGTGGTGATGGTCGTTGGACCAGTTCTTCAGGAGGAGTTAGCTCAATGAGATCTTTGGCTCTTTGGATGGTTTCAGCTTTACCATTAAGAAGCATACTTGTCATTTCGAACGTCCAGTTTGTTCCTTTGAAAAGAGAAAATGATATGTTGAATTTTCACACACAGCCAACATACAGCTTGTATTTTTGGGTTTCACCATCACAGTCAAGGCCAAGTCTAGAGGCCAAGTCTAGAGTTGATGTAGAAGAGGAATTAACTAAATGCGTTACTAAATCAACATGATACATGATGCTTACCGTGTTATCACAAGATCGTATGGCTGAGATTGGATTGATACGTTCCCGCCATCGTACATTGTATGGCAGGAGTATTGCGGTGTATTGCGTTCAGGCAAAATGCAAACAAATTTTACGAAGTAGTTGGTTCTACCAGTACAGCAGAACATTCAACCCTTTCCTCGAACACCTAGTGTCATCACTGGTTTGGAACCACTGAGAACATTTTCAGTTCTATCATGTCTTCACTCCCCAGCAAATATCTTTCGCCGGATAATTAAAATTTCACTGGTATCGGCGTTCTAAACTTACCTGTACGGGGAAATCCGGTGAAGTATATGTCATCTGGCCTCATGCGGAAACCTTGGATTTGTTGAAGTATTTCAATTTTATACATAGGTGTAAGATGTACTCCACGGAAAAGTTGATATTTCATACTGTGGCCACTTCGATCTGTTACTGTAACGGTATGTTGTCCACTGAAATCCATGTCAAACTTCTGTTCATCAATCTGCGAAAACATTTTAGGTAAATGATTTAGTAGTCCTCAGTGAGGATGGTTATGGTTTTGAACCATAATATGCAAGAGCGAAAAAACCCTTTCAGCATCCATAAAAAATCAGTCAGTTCCTAAATATAAATGGTACAAGCAACATCAACAGAGGTATGGATCATAATGTGGTCATAATATCCCTGAAACCGTATATGACAGTAACGATGTCCTGTCCGCTCAAGTCCATGTTACCATGGAAACATCCCCAAATGATTATATAACATTATAAGTCAGCTGAAATCTGTCTGCTGAATTCCATCTTACCATCGTAAGTCGTGCTCAGGTCCACATCTTAGCAAAATAACTCAATTGGAGATTAAAACCTTGCATCTTAACTTGCTAGTTGATATATAGCGTCGTAACACTGAAGATAACCGAGCTTTACGACAGACAACGCTGGCCATACTAATGACGACAGAGAATTCATGATAATTAGCAACAATATAGTGATTCAAATGCGTGTCTTTGTATTTCTTACAGTGATTATTCCCTCTTCATTCTTTGCTTCCTCCATTTTGATGTTCACACTATGATACACTGACTATCTAGACAGTCCTCACCCATATAGCTTCAGTATGGTGAAAGGATGACCTGGATTTGTGGTTACCGTATACGTTCTGATAGTTGTTTCCTGCTTGTCTGTGTGTGTGTGTGTGTGTGTGTGTGTGTGTGTGTGTGTGTGTGTGTGTGTGTGTGTGTGTGTGTGTGTGTGTGTGAGTGAGAGAGAGAGAGAGAGAGAGAGAGAGAGAGAGAGAGAGAGAGAGAGAGAGAGAGAGAGAGAGAGAGAGAGAGGTGGGGAGGATGTAATGATTGCATACATGCATAGCCAATCCATCTAATATACGTACAATCTGGCGGTTTCTTATCAATTGTTCAAGTACGATTGACATAGGAATTCAATTTCTCTGGAGGCGATATGAAACCTATATCATTCACGTATTCATAAATAAGTTATGTGGCGGCGTTGTTCCCTATTTTAGACTCGTACCTTTCCGATGCCCTGTCACGAGATAGGCTATCTGGTTTAAATGTTATTTTTACAGAATTATACGATATAAGGCTCCTGCACCTACTTTACGCTGCCACTTTAAGAGATTATCAACAAGGAAAAATACCAAACTTAATTGACTTTGACAAAAGAATGTACGTGATCCGAGGTCTATCATCGTTCGCTACTGCTCTACGGTCTGTGGCTGTGACTGTTTTGTAACTTCCGGCAGAGAGTATCTGCATACGTACGAATAAGGTTTCTGCGTCTGGATACACAGGAAATCAACAGGTTGGTTGGCATCTACTGTTCATTAGATAACTGGGGAATAGTTTCTCTGGGAAATGATATATTCACTGACCACGGAAACGTTCTTCCGAACATGAAACTAAAGCAGAAATAACCAAAAGAACAAACTTAGCGAACCAAAGAGAACACTTCACAGCCTTACTAAACTGGCATATAACGTAGATTCCTAATAACATAACCAGTTCTGATTATTAGATGGACAGTTATTAAACTTTAAAATCTTCCACAAAATCATCCCATGATACCTGGAGGTCTCTCAACCTGCACTGAAAGTTCTACGAAAACTGCTGCTAAAACGACAGATTTTGCTTTGGTCTGAAACAATAGAAGAAGAATTCATATCCCGAATGGTCTCCCTCGCGGCTTATTCCACGAATTTCAACGGAATTTATGACATCAGCATGCCTATTGAAAACTCTTTGCTCTTTTGATGATAGAAACTCTCATGAGAGTATTGTCGTATAAAGCATTCATAAATCTATACATACATGTAGCTATAGGCATCTCCACATTGCTACTTAATACGGCATGGGCACTATGTGTGAAGCCCATTTCTGGTGTCCCCCGCCGTGATATTGCTGGAATATTGCTAAAAGCGGCGTAAAACCATACTCACTCACTCACTCACTCACTTAATACGGTAAATCAGTTGCGGTAAAGATCATCATGCATAATATCATACACCTTTGGCCCGAGAAATGAAGCTGCGCTCAGGCCATTATCAGCGTCGTCGGACGGCTGGGCAAAATATTATTCTGCAACGTTAAGACTGACTGACTGAGTTTGGGTTTTACGCCGCTTTTAGCAATATTCCAGCAACATCACGGCGGGGGACACCAGAACTGGGCTTCACACATTGTACCCTGCAACATTAAGGAAAACAGGAGATGCTCTGTTATGGATAGCATGTACTTCTTGGTATTTATGTATTCCCCACAGCCTGGAACATTATGATAACACAGGTTGCAATGTACAGTCATACAGTCTTGTAAATACATCAAGTGCTTTTCACCACAGGACTATCTATTATGCCTAAGAAGAGTCAATGCTCGGGATGCAGGATTAAAGGTCACATGCAACCAAAAAATCAAACATAATTAAAACACAATTATCACTTATTCATGACATATAATATACATTGCTGGTTATGAAAAAACATAAAAACAAAATTATAAGCGTACAATCGCAAATCAAAAGTGCAATATTTTGTACTTGGGTTTACTTCCCAAGAAACGAGGCAGCCGGGATACCGAACCCAGTAAGAGCGGGTGGGTGTGCACTCAACTGTAACGGCTGGTTCATTTGCAGATGCCGCCCTCACGGCTCATTGTGTGTGTATATATAGAGATGTTGGGTTTTGTAAATACATACTCATTTTTTGTGTATAACATTTTGCAATCAACAGACATCATAACATGTCATGTGTACAAGTATCACACCTGCCTGTCTGTGTAATTACATAATGTGACAGAGACCGAACTCGGGCCATAAATCAATGCGTTTTGTTTATGGTGTATAGCTTGATTGGTGTTAAGTTCAAATTGCATGTGGTCAGTGATTGAAATTGTGTATTGAATATTGTCATTAGCAGACGGGCAGGCAGACACATAGGTGCCAATAAAACAGACATTGAGTTTAGTCTGTGACAACGACATGTCTATATCACAGTAAGAAATTCTGTCGACGCTAAATAATGACATTGCTTTTAAGTATCGAACTGAGAAAGTGACTCGGTAAGGAGAACGTGTGGTGAAATAGACAAATGAAATTATATAAACAGTTAAATCGGTAATCTACTGTAATAACATATAAAAAGCTCGCGCCTGTGAAATATCAACAAAACATTAGAAAAATAGCTCACACCAAAGCCTTCACCGAATATTCACCGGACAACCCGCTTCCAAGCTCCGCGAACCTATTTCACTGCGCATGTGCTATGAGCGCAGCCCAGCTGTTGAAACCACTTCAATTCCCCTAAGCGCTGGGGGGAAGTTAGTGAATCGTTTGAACTACGATTTCGCGCGGTTTTTTTCATCGCGTTATTTTTCAACTTTATAAGTTGAATTTACATTTTTGATGATTTGTTTCGGTAAGTCCATACCGAATGGTATCAGAATCTGAAAAGTTGTGTTTTACGTTGCATGTGACCTTTAACCTTTTCACTTGTAAATACGATCAAGTGCTTATCGATATAAACACAGGACTAACTGACCGCCTCTGTGGTGTAGTGGTTAGAGCGTCCGCCCGGAGAGCGGAAGGTCGCGGGTTCGATCCCCGACCGCGTCATACCAAAAGACGTTAAAATATGGTACTTGTTGGTCCCTGTCTGGCGCTCGGCATTAATGGGTACAACAAGGACTGGTCGGCTCGGAGTCAGTATAATGTGTCTGAGTGGGGTATTCATGCTTCACTGCGGCATGGTATCTCAGTGGGCTAGCACTATAAAACCCGCTTCAGTCTGGGCTAGTACAAGCAGCTGCACATACACATACACGCATGCACGTCGTCATATGAGCGAAATATTCTCAAGTACGACGTTAAACCCAATTTCACCTCACCTCACAGGACTAACTATTAGGCCTAAGAAAATCCAATGCTCTGGACGCAGATTTAACCTGTTGCCTTGCAAAATTGCGTATATCACAGTTGACACGTAACCATAGCCTGAGATAACTGTTGTTATCAGCATTGTCGATTTCCACGTGACCACTGCACCGCTTCTCGGTCTGAAATGTAAAAAGCTCCCTCTTCACAGTCTGTTGAGTGGTACTTGTGGACTGTGGGCCTCTGGATTCGGCAAAACTATATGTTCAGCGTGCAGTAGCACGACTTTTGATATTAATAGGTAATAAAGTGGACGACAACACACGTCCTTGTTTAACACCGGACTGTATAGGAAAGGTATTACTTTCATAATTGGTTAATATGTACATCGTCATACAGCGAGGTGATAGTTTGGAGAATAGTGCCAGAAATACTACATTCAATGAGTTTCACCAACAGATGTTCCTATTCAAACAACGAGGAGAGTTCTATGGATATACGTCTTCTTTAATATAATATGAGCGACGTTTCGGTGTAGCTACTAACACCGTTATCAAGACAAATGATGTACAATACTAGAGGCAAGGTACGTACATATATACATAGTAAAGTTGAACAGTAAGCGATTGCACAATTAATGAGGTTAATGTACAAGGTTGAGGATGTTTACACAAGAAGGCAATTGTTAAACAAACAGAGTAAGCTATTATATGGGGGATTACTCTGTTTGTGTAACAATTGCCTTCTTGTGTAAACATCCTCCAACCTTGTACATCAACCTCATTAATTGTTCAAACATCAATCACTTACTGTTCAACTTTACTATGTATACCTTGTCTCTAGTATTGTACAAAATTTGCTTGATAATGGTGTTAGTAGCTACACCGAAACACGTCGCTCATATTATATTAAAGAAGACGTATATCCATAGAACTCTTCTCGTTGTTCATCACACTGACTTCTAAATGCCACTCAAACAAGTTACCCTATTCAGTAAGTCAAACGCTTTTGTAAAATCAACGACACATGAAAGTGTTGATTTTTGTCCCCATCTATGAATAACACTATACAAATCATGAGCATGGTCGAGACAAAACCAATCTTTACTGAATCCGTTTTGTTCGTCTTGAAGACTATCCTGGGTTTTGGGGTATTTGAACAACCTCTGACTGATGATATCAGCATCAATCTTGGATGGAATGGAGAGTATGGTAATGGGTATGTAGCTTGATGTGTCAGGCGGATCACTGACTTCTTTAAGGATTGGTTTCATTTTGCGTCTATTCCAAGCTTTGGGAGATAGCTCTGTTTAGCATCGGTGCACATACGTCACTCTTTAGTACAATACTTGGAATATCATGAAGCCCCGCTGTTTCCTAAACTTTGGCTCCGCATTGTGCATAATCCGTCCCTCCACTGGTGACTGCTTCATTTAAAGGCTATATTTAACTGATTCATATTATTCAAAGTCTTCATGTTGATATATTGTTGCAATTAGCTCTATGCTTTATGAAAGCAGCATGGAAATTGATCAAATAACTATCGTTTGTTCATTTCATATAGTTCATTAGTTCATAGTTTTCTGGGTTTTTTTAAAGGAATACACATTATACATTGTAAGCACACAAATCCTCGCCTCGAAGTGCTATGAACTATATGATATTGGCAATTGTCACAGATCTCCAGAAGGCAAAGAAACAACAATCACTGGCAATGTTGTAAACACCAACGGCGCAAACCCATCTGAAAGACAACTTACCTAGTCCATATTCTGGAGGTCAACCCCTTTTAGGGGGAGATGTCAACGTAACTGACAGCGACGGGGACATATGGTATTACTCGTGATCGATAGTGTACAAGTTCATGTCAGTGTGATATCGCTTACTAATGTGTCGCCAATAATATAATATTCTGACCATTTGAACAGACACATTTTGGGATGAAATCCAAAGATTACTGTCCATTTGAAAACTTAAAAGAAAATAAAACATCAGCCTAATATGTGAGATATATTTTCTTCTGGCTTAAGTATCATAGAATCTGGACCCTGTATTACTCGTGAGCGATAGTGCACAAGTTCTTATTAGTGTAATATTGCTAACAAATGTGTCGCCAATAATATAATGTTTTAACCATTTGAATAGACATATTTTGAGATAAAATCCAAAGATTACTGTCCATTTGAAAACCTAAAAGAAAAGAAAAAAAGCCCTAACTGTCAGATATATATATTTCTGACATAAGTATCATAGAACATGGACCCTGCCATCTTTTCTTCGTACACTCTGTAGCAATCTTTCAACATCTATTCATTGAATAAGACCTCCAGTCACCACCGAATCCTGGGAAATACAAGGTCGGTTGTGACATTTAAACAGCATTCTGGTGTGTGGTGGTGTGTGGTCCTGCGCGTAGAGCCCAGGTCACAAATCAGTTGAAATTAAGCAATTTTGGGCGCAGAGAGTCCTTGAGTGGGTGACCGTGCTTGGCAGCTTGACTCCTGAAAGTGTCTTGGACTTCAGTCCTGCCACCTTAGGCAAGTGAGTTTGTTCAAACTTGTCTCTGTTCACCCAGCAGAAAATGGCTATCGTGTGGGACTATTAACCTTTCAGCGTCTCAGCTTGGGTTATCCCGGGGAATAATAAGCTTAAGATATCCTGTTAGCGTCTTGATCATGTGCCTTGTACATGGAAAAACGCATTACAAATTCACAATTATTATTCTAGATATAGACGTTCTGGTAAGGCATCCTTTGAATGATTAAAAGGGGATATATTATACTTGTATCCACTTTAGGGGCACCTTTTGTATCAAGTCGTTGTGTTAAAAGACTTGTGAATAATTTCGTCAATTTAACACAATTACGTCCCAATTATCTAAAAATCAGCGTCACGAAATTATCTTTTTTCCCATTCAGTTTCATTGCGAAGTTTCCTTAGTCGATTTTCATTCTGGAAAAGGTGCACTTTTCTGCAAATTCTCGGCAAAGATCTTTTTGCAGCCTGACGGAGATGTCAATACACACATTGTGAATCCCCGTGGCTGTTTAAATAATAACATAGCAAAACTGTATATTGTATTTTTATTCTGTTCGTATCGTTTCATGCTTTTGTACATTTTTTCAAATATATTGTTGCATCTAGCTAGGTTACTGACACGCTGTTAATTTACAGTTCAAAGCAGCAACGTCCGCATTTACAAATAAAGTTAGATAAGGTCAGACAAGGATAAACAAGGACCAAGCTCTAACGAAATTAATAAAAAAAAAAATATTAAATAGATGTTCAGAATGTTAATCACTTGATTGTCTGGACTTGACTGGAATATTTACAGACCGCCTTCATGTAAGCGGACGTTGAACTGACTAATTGTTTATCAGTTTATCAGATAATGGAAATCATTAATAACACCAAGGGTTGTCTAAGTTTCACAAATGGTATTAATTTAACAATTAGTTGTAATGTCTACAATGAACAACAGGAGCGAAATGACCACATCACCCCACCTTGACACTTCAGTTTATTCGACAGCTCTTCTTGTGACCAGCCCTGATTATGAGAGCATGGGCAGTATCAGTCTCCAGCTCATCTTCAACGATGTAGGTCATCTGGGTTTGGAACCTTGACCTTTGTTATAACATGTATTAACATCACCACGGTACCATTCCGTCAGTTGTATACAAACAGCACTCCTGAAGATTCTGGCAGTTGTAACTATTTGAATACATGTGCGTTTTGTGCACAGTTCCTGAACAGTTCCTCTTTCGTTTGTGCCTCGTATGTTTATTTCGTTCACCCAAATAGAGAATATATTTACTGTCTCATTCTGGTTTAGATCTTACAGTTATAGCAAATAAGTCCATCTATGAAGAAATATGTTGCTTGTGTTTTTCTGAGATACGAACAGTTTGAATTTCAGCTGTTTAATTTGTAATTCAAAATAAAATAAATGTTGTAACCACCATTCTATGTGTCACTTCTATTTAAAAGTAACTCAAGGTGATAAAATGATGAGTTGTAACATGTTTCAATTGATTTCAATATCCAAGGTGTACCAACGCCATCTCTAGATAACTAACGCTGTACCAGACATATTTCTAAACTGACGAGCAAAAGAAAGTACACAGGTTGTGTTTCTTCAATAAGATAAATATAACACTTTTTGTGTATGATGTTGCTGGGGATAGATTGTTTTCAAGTTACGTTTTGGTGCTAAGTAATGTGTCTCCAATTATATAATGTTTGGACAAATATTCATAGATATATACATATTGTGGCATACAATCCGAATATTACGATATATGTAAAAATAAATATAGAACATACAAAAAAATAAACCGAAAGGTCAGATGTATTAGTTTTACTCTTTGCATAGGCATCATAGAATCTGGACCCCGCCATCTTTTCTTCGTACACTTTGTAGTAATCTTCCAACATCTGGTCGTTGAACCAATTCTTCCAGTCACCAACGACTCCTTGGTATGTGATTAAAACATCATGATAGTCATACAAGTTCTCAAAAGTACTCGTTTTGGTATCAGGAAACACATTATAGTGCACCTTTCTTAGAGATTACTCTTTTATCAAACATGTTCTTAAATACTTATGAACGATTTAATTTTGAACTTGATGTTTTACGTGATGTATTGTGATGCACATTTAACGGTTGTTTTAATTAAAAGGGCAGTTTTCATGTAATTACCTTTTCTGTACAGAAAGTGTTCCCCGTCCACTTTTATCGAAAAGGGTTCCTTGTCGATTTTCATTCTGGAAAAGCTGCACTTCTCTGCAATGGATCGGCACAGATAATCATTTCTGTGAAGTCCAAGAAAGTCGGACAGTGCTTGTACAGCACGTACAGGATCCTAAGGATAGAAAGTAAAATCTCAAATGTGCAAAAGTATGTCTTACCATGAATGTAAATATAGACACTGTTTTGTTTTCATTTATGAATATTTACAATTCTTGTTTGTCCTCTCAGCTTCGTGTTAGGTCAATCATAACCCGGATTGGCATGAATCTGGTCATTGTTAATGTAATATAGTAAAACAATAAAACAAATGAAAAGGTGTAAAATTTCAATCCTCGATCTCATTCCACTAAGCATTCTTAATGATCCTCCAACTTCATGTTGATGCTTAATTAAAGGAATTTCGGTAATCATACCACTAAGACCATTTTGTGCAATTAGGCTGTGTACCTTGATGGCGTCTTCATAACTTTGAAAGTGCACTGGGATATCAGGATGGTGAGTGAAATATTTCTCGGCGTCTCTCCAGTGTTCAAATATGCCATTATTGTCCACTGAAACAGCATAGGAAAATCACCATGAATCCCCTCGAAGTTGCATAGTTTTGGATGTTGGAGACTCATAGCTCATGTTTCCAAGGTGAAATATGTAGCAATGTTCAAACATGTGTGACACAAACTTGTCTTTAATTATAAATCTTTTAATTTATTACTCATCTGTGTCTACACGGATACTTATTGTCGTCTTATGGCTGCAACAATGCTGATGTGATGTTTCAATTTAACCAAGTAGATTGCTTTATTTGTTAGAAATAGCAGGAACATCAAAGTTAGGGACACAGAGAACTCACTTAACTTAAACATTGTGCAATCTACCTGGGAAGAACAAATTCACATAATCTCCACTTGGCTCGTCACTAAATCTAAGTGTTATTTATTGGCATCACGATTCTTAAGTTTCTATCAATATGCTATGCATGATAATTATATTTTTCTACCATGTTCACAATATCGAGGTGTGGACACCAGAAATGGGCTTTACAAGTGTTTTTTTCCATCTAAGTAGCTACACCTTGTGTGTCAACGTTACTAGCGAATATTTCAACTTCTACAGACCCCAGTACGCATTATATGGGTGTTTGTTTTTCTACTTCTTTGCTTATCGTTTAACGCCGCACTGTGTAATTTTGACACAAAAGGGTCTGTTAATAATCGATTCTAGATCCCATGATCATCGATCAACACAATTCGGATATGATGACATGCTAAATCAGATCCGCGAGTCTGATCACCCGATCCCATTAGTTGTTTGTTACCACAAGGATGCGTTGCTGAAGGCCTTTTTGATCCGTATAGTCATTGTTTTATTGATGACCATACAATATGAAGTGAGCGAGTGAGTTTAGTTTTACGCTGCACACAGCAATATTCCAGCTATATGGCGGCGGTCTGTAAATAATCGAGTCTGGACCAGACAATCTTGTGATCACCATACAATATGATGAATTCAGAAATGACTTGCATGTTTTGTATTTCACTGAAGCCAAACGCTTTGTAGATTTTCATAACAAAATTAATGAGGAGTATTTTTGTAGATTGACTCTTTCCATGATTAGGAGAATTGGAGATAAACATATTTTATCTTCTCCATAGGTAGGTGGTATCAAAGCAACATATAAGATGATCATGGGAATTATGTTTTATATAAACCAACTTACATTATTACATTGCTAATGAGTCGATGATTAGACTAACTATAGTTTGAAAGATGAAGATGGTTTGAGACATGTTCCATCCAAAACCACGTTGAAGATAATACCCAAAGAATCTCGACCAAAAGGCATGTAAGAAACACAACCGTCGTAGCATTCAGAGTTATTGCCCCTATATCTAGCAATAAAATACTGTTGAACAGTCAATCAATTCTGATCCTTGTCACTACAGGGTGAAATCTAATTATCTAAAGAAATTATATGTGCATTCCAATAGTAAGAACTATCAATATACTATTCCTGGGCATTTTACCTTACACATGAATTGTTCATATGAAATTATAGCCTTTTTATGATAAGGAAGTCAATAATTGGAAAGAAATATTCGTTGATTTCGAAGAAAATTGCACACTGTGCTCATAGTTTATACCAAAAGATCACGTTTGCTTGTGGCAAGATCACATAGTAATTTGGTTTGACTGTATGTTATAGTGTGCATCATCACTTGTCCGTGTGTTGAATAACGTTCGTTATTCTAGTGAAATGAATGTAGTGCTATAATCATTCTGTAAAGTGTAATCATTCTGAGTACAATGTATGTAGGGACCGTTAATAATTCATGACAAGGGGGATGTTAGATTTTATGCAGAAGCATGTACAATGTGAATGCCTCCCCTATAATTTATGTACAAAGTTACCCGCCCTTGCATATCAAGAACAAAATCAATGACCCCCTTTCCCATTATTTTTAAACATATTATTTAAATATTTATGTGTACAAAATTGCTGACCCCCACCCCCTACCAGTGCGGTAATGTATCCTGTAACACCCTCAACCTGTGTGGCCTGTGTGGACCAGTGCGCTCCTGTATCATGTAAGGGACAGTTCCTGTGTGACCTCTTCTCGCTTGTCTAACCAACAAGTACAGGATGTGGCTCACGACAAACACAATCCAAGTCACGTTGAACTATGTCTGTACAAACAGATCTTGGTAATATGACCTGTGCACTGTGGAAGTATATCGATACTCATACCTGTGAAATTCTTGTGGAGATGTATACATTGAGAACTGTACTATCTGCAGCTTTCTTGTGAGCATGTAACGCTCTGTTGTAACTGAACTGTGTAATCGTCTAGCTATTATTTTGTGTGTTTTATTTGGGGAGATCGGGCCAGAAGTGTCATGTGTAGGAATTGGTGAGATCATGTATGATGAATATGTTGAATGATTTTTAGTGTCAGGTATGTAAGATGATATGAATCTGAATGATGGATGCGTGGTGAGCGGAGTATGAGTTTGTAATTATATTTTTGGTTTGTATTTTTGTTGCAATTCCACCTTTTCGCTCACGTCATATTGTTACAGATAGGTTTTTTAACAAAACCTGAAAGCTAAAGAAACCTGTTCCGTTCAGGAAGAGTTGAAGATAATCCTCAAACGATCCCACGTATCTACTAAAGGGCGAATTTCTTAAGAAATTATGTATGCTTCGGGTTAGGAGGAATTGATAAACTAAGTACATGTATACTATTCCGCTGCATTTGTACCTTATACATAAACTGTCGATACGAAATTATATCTTCATAATAATATGAACTGTGATAATTAGAAAGAAAGGTTCTTTGATTTCAAGGAAGTCGGTGGCATTGTGCTAATAATTCATGCAAAAACATCTCATTTACTGAGTCTTACAAGCAAAAACCGGAAGGGTTAAGAAAGTGACCAACCTGTTCCATCCATGAAGAGATGAAGGAAATCCTCAAAGTGCCCATTATATGTACCAAAGGGAAATACTCTGTTATAATAGAGTTTGTACAGAGAGACGACAACATCCTTTGGGTCTCGCATAGTGTAGATGACCTTGCACTTCAGAGCTGTTACATCATCTGGAGAGTCGGACAGCTTCATGTGGGAGTTGATGACGCGCGGTGATGGTAGTTGGGCTAGTTCGGCATGAGGAGATAACTCCAATTGATCCTTGTCTCTCTGGATGGTTTCAGCCTTACCATTAAGAAGCATGCTTGTCATTTCAAATGTCCAATTTGTCCCTTGGTTAAAAGAAAACAATTAATCCAGTCAACATTTTTGTACAAAGAAGTTCAATGTCGGATGTGAGACAACTGAAACTATATATATATTCAGATGCAACAGTTATTGCGACATTGTTGTTTTCCCTGGTAGGCTTGAGGATACATTTTGTATTTGAAACAGGTAGTTAGATCAGGAAACAATGGTCAAGGAAACGCAACCAGGCACATGTTGTTCGAAATGTGAAAGAAGCATGGCGTATTCGAGAAAATAGCTACGACTGTTCACTTTAAAGGGCAAGACAGTTTCCATCTATTACAGTCTGAAGAAGACGATTCAACGTCCACACACACACACGGTGACTTGTTAGCAAAACATCAACAAAGAAACCAAGTGAAAGACCGTCCCTGCAGTAGCCGCCGACAAGTATCGACCCCACATTATGACCTATGGTTTGAAACACGCATCTCCGTCACAGGTTCCATCCAGAAACCCTTACAGCCCAAACCATACTTGGCGGGAGGGGTGTTTCTGTGAGAACAGATCAATGACGTCTAAGCGTCTTTGTAAAACGTCCAGACTGACGTCCAGTTCTGACGCTGGAACATCGACGTTGACGTCTCCATTAGAAAGGAGATCTCTTGAGTGATGAGTCACATAGTGGCGCATGGGTAAACGTTACATCCGAGGGGAATTGAATACTGCTTCTTACCGCTTATGCAACAGAAGGGCTCTTGAGTGACTTTTCAGCGCGATAACGCCAGGCCATACGTTACTCGAGTTGCATAATCCCTACTGTCTCACTCATTGAACACTCTGGGATGAACACTCTGAGAGACGTTTACGACGTCATCCGAATCCTCCAACAACGCTGAGGGAACCCTTTAGCTGATATGGAATAATCGACGTTTAGTGTCCTCAACGAAGCAAAATGAACTCGCTACTAACCTTGTGAACGCGCTTTGGAACTCCATCTTGTGTTTACATCAAAACAGATGTCATCGCTAGTGGTGGGTAAAACAATTAGATTGATAGGTGTCCTCATAGTGGCCGAACTTTCCGACACTGTTGATATTTCATTTTGGTGTATGTATTTTCACAGAACGCCAGTACATAGTTACTAAATTTCCTTTTCGGTCTTTGTTGTTGTAATAAGTAAACTACAACTACAATTTTCATGCGCGGAATTTGGATTACGAAGCATATGTAAGTGAGTGAGTTTAGGTTTATGGTGATTTTGGAGCAATATTCAAGCACTATTGCAGCAGGGAACACCAGAAATGGGCTTCACACAATGTACATCTGCCCTTGTACTGGGAATCGGACCAACATGTAGTATTTTGTGCTACTCGTTAAAAAGGGTGGTGCTTGATTAAAGCTCATGGCTGTGTATTGTCAACTTGAAGCATGAGTAAGTGGAGATCTTTGCTGTTTCGTCTCCTACTCTAAATTAATGCTCTTTACGAGATAATCGAGATCTTGTGTTGACGTTTTGAATTTACCTGTACGAGGATATCCGGTGAAGTATATGTCATCTGGCCTCATGTTGAAACCTTTGATTTGTTGAAGTACTTCGACTTTAAACAATGGCACGTAATGTACCCCTTGGAATAGTTGATAGGTTAGGGTTTGGCCGCTTCGATCTGTTACTTTAACCTTGTGCTGCCTGCTGTAATCTACGTCCAACGTCTTCCCAGATACCTAGGAAACAGGTGCTCGTGTATATCGTTCATGTAATTGTAAAACACATCCCATTTAAGGAATGTATAATACTGTCCTTATATAGTATGTAAAATAGAACCTGTCAAAATGGAAACCTACGTTTATACTTTCACTTTGTTTGTTATTACAAATCTAATCAATGTTTACTCAATGCTGTGCTCATTTCCACATATTATCATTTCAGATCAATCGGGACATATAGGGCTTAACAACTCGGGAACTTTATAACAACTCGTATGTGAGATGACAGCAACAATGATTATCTTGAAGACACCTTTTCCGTTTCGTTGACAGGAGGGAGCTTCAGAAAAACGAACTATGAAGCATGGTATTATTTTATAGATGCATCTCCACGTTTCTACTTAATACGGTAAAATTGACGTAAATAACCGCGCCTCCAGGTCATTCACCGTTACCCAGCAAAGAGAAAAGGCATTCTTCAACGTGCCTGTGTTATCGGACAGCAGAACAAAATCTTTTTCAGGGACATTGTAATGAGAACCATGCTTTTTCTCCAGTTTACTCACACTGAATGCCACCTCTTCTCCCTTCGCGTCAGCCATGTTTACACTGTGATACACGGATTATCCACTCAGTCCTGTCCCTGTCACTATAATTGCTTCAGTATAACGACAATATGGTGAAAGGTCGCAGTCATTACATGGGTAAAGCGTTACCGTCTTTCTTCTGATATAGGAGGCTTCACATTTATACACAACTACCTTGAAATTCAATCACTTCGAATGCGTTGAGAACGCCTGTCTTATAGAAAGTGGTCAAATTTAAAATCTGTTATATTTAGAGTATACTCTATCAACGACATTACTGGCTAGGTACATCCGTTTTCGACAACCATGCCCAGTTTCTGGTGTCAACACTGGATAGTCTGGTCCAGGACTCCAGTTATTTACAGACCACGTCGTACAACTGTAATACTGTGTAATTTGGCGTAATGACTACATACAAAAGTCATGATATCGTCTGAATTGTACAATTGACTCAGCTTTTAGATTTCTTTCGGATGTGGAAAGAGTTTTGTAATTTCTTTTCATTTTAGCAACATACGAACATGACATTAATGAACAATCGCAAACCAGGCAACATATACTAACGGAAACAAGTAATCGTGCATAACATGAAATTGCATAAAATATAAGTTGTTTGAGAAGTTATAAAAATAACCCTAAATAAACATGTTGCAAACCACTTTGCATGAATTTGATGTCACGTGCATGTTGCGCACAGTGACCTTACTCACGTTTTGCATGCTTTTGTACAAATGAAGCTAATGAAAATTTAAGAATAGTTGATTATTCCCAACCTCTGAATGCTGTGGGAAACACGTTAATATCAACCTAAATTACGCGTACATCATGCCATGGCTTACAGAAACTCAGTGTCTCCGCGCCCAGGGTATGCTGGAGGAATTGCCCAAAATGAAGTGAATCGACATTATGGTATCAATCAAACCTCGATTTCATATCCATGTTTTCAACATAATGGGAACACGAGAGATTTACCACGGACCGGTCGTCAACGCGTGACGTCGCGTCAGCAAGACTAGCTGGCCCATCTGAGGATTCGATTCCAGACTGCCAGTTTGACTGCTCGGAACATTCCTGGCTTACGACACAATCAGTTCCAGGACTGCACGGAACCGACTGAGGGGCACAGCATCCGGCCCCGGCGGCATGGAATACGTCTAATTTTGCTCCAACGCCACAACTTGATAGACAACTGCCTTGAATTATTTTACTTTGCACGTGTTTAGAACGCCTGGTACGGGAATATAAAGTGTATGCCAAGGGTGCTTAACAAGTATACCTCGAGCACACCGGGCAATGTCCAACTAAAGACAGAATTGACTAAACGCTCCTTTTTCGACTACCATAGCCTCATTGTATTAAAGCAACATGACACTTGTGAACAATCACCAATCACCATTTTAATCCCAAAACTCTTCACGCATGATAAACTTGAAGTATCGTACTAAGCTGTTCTAGGTAGCTTATCTTCGCGTATTGATCATAATTTATGTCAGCATATGGTGCAGCTATCGATTCATAATTACTCAAAACAAACTGTGAAGACAACTGAAAGCTTCTCTCTAGGTCACTGTCCTCTACGCAGTACAAGCTACATACAAGTTAAAAGTAGGGTCAGTCCTTCAAACCCTGATAGCTCAAAGATAAGCCCTAACTAAATATACCGTATTGCTTCTATTAGACGTTTCAGGTTCAATTCAATTCGCCCAAGTCGTCGTCCGTTGCGGCCCTGCGTCTGTACGCTTTAATGCTGCCACAGTAGCTGCTCACTACCTTACCAAATCCCAGATTGTACAGGCATACGAACTGAAAGGAAATACATCATGACAAGCCGTATGTGAAAGATATCATTTATTTTATTATTAAAGGCAGAGGGCTAGTTTTAGGAATAGAACGTACTTTCAATCGACACATAGAGGATAGCGTGTATTGAAGACAGGGTATATAATCACGGTAACAATTTTAATACTTCTAGCCAGGAATATGACTTGTAACATTTCGAAGAGGGGTCACCATGTGCCTTGCATCTTTCAGTTTTATATATAAAACAACAACTGAAAATATAATCCAGAAGTATAAACATTGTGAAATAATTGTCAGTTACGCTTGCGAACTTAGATTGTTGAGTATTTAGTCAGTGAGGCCTGATGTCAATTCAGAAACGTTCCCTGCTCTATTCGAAAGGGGCGGGTGGTTAGAGTAGCCTAGTGGGTAAAGCGCTGGCTCGTCACGCCTAAATCCACAGTACGTTTCCCCACATGGGAACAACGTTTGGAAATTTCTGATGTCTCCTGAAGTGATATTACTGGCATATTGCGTGAAAGCAAACACACATTCGCTCACTCAGGGAATTCATTTCAGCTGATATGTGAGATCACAGCTATAAGCAGTGTTTTGAAGGCCCCTTTTTAATTTTGTAGATGATAGCGTGCTTCAGAAAAATATACAGGGTAGCAGAGTATTACTATATAGATTATTCACGGAGGGGTGTTAGCATTGCTACTTAATACGGTAATAACGTCACAGATGACCGTGCCCACTGGTAGGTCACCTTTCACCAACAAAATGAAAAATCATTCCTCGATGTAGATGTGCCACAGGACAGCTAAACAAAAATGGTTTTCATTTTTTTTACTTACAGAGAATGTTCCACCTTCACGCTTCACTTCATTCATTTTGATGTTTGCACTGTGATACACGGAGTGTCCACACAGCCCGGTCACTCTCTTGGCTACAATAGGAAGTCTTATCATAGGTCAGACCTTACTGTTTTCCTTCTCAAATACCAATTTGATACACAACTGCCTTGCAATTGTTTCACTTCGCGCAAATTGAGGAAGCCTGTAGCAGGAATACACAATTATTGCCTAAGGCGTTCGACAACCATACCCAAACACACCCATATTTCATGGTGTCAATCATGGAGTTGTCTGGTCCAGGCTCGATTACTGGAATCTTTACTTTACTGAGTAAGTGTAACTCCAAATATACCCACTGTCTGGTCTGCTTAGAAAAGGGTTGATGGTTCGTGTGCGAGTTTGTTGGGGAAATGAAAACACTGTTTGATAGGTGGGGTTCTTTTAAAGAGATCAATGTAGATTTTGAGAGTTTGAGGCAGTTTGTTTTGCATTTACTTTTAGGCAGTGTCCCAGGAGACAATCGGATCTATTGTGATGAGCAGAAAGTTGAGCAACTGCATAAGGCAGACGATTATTCATTAACACAAAAGGTTAGTTTTAGGCACTCAGACTCAATAACCAGACTGTTAAGACTGTTTTGACGGTTTATGAATTGGATCCTTGAGTTCAGAGGCGTCGGTTTAGGTCTGCTATGTAAAAGGGGGCTGCTGGTACTTTGCTTGAAATGTTCAGTTTGCTACGGAGATAAAGATTAATTTTGTGTAACCAGGTAGGTAGTCCGTGTTCTTCATAAAGAAACATTCATTCCTTTCCAGCGAGGATCTTTTTAAAGTTTGAGGCAGTTTCGTTTTTTGTCAGCTTGAAATGACATTTTGAGCATTGTGTCTCAGGAGACATTCAAACTTCTCTTGATCAGCAGAAATTTGATCTACTGCGTCATCCCTCCGTTTTGTGAATGGTGATTGGTTAAGGTGGTGGTTGTAGAAACTCTATTAAAGGTGTGGCTTATTGTGAACGAGTTTGCAGCGGGACTATGTTTGGCTAATCCTGTCATAAACCTAACACTTCAGAAAGGACTAAAATTTTGGAATAGAAATTCCGGTATGTTTCCATACTGTGCCGATACTCGTTCGTAGCGGAGGCAATCTGTTTTTCTGAGAATGAGTCCAGTTATGATCCACATTCATGGATGATTCCTTTGACCTGTCTGTTTCTTCCATGGAGAGTACTAAAATTACTCTGACAATTCGGCTGTGGGGCAGATGGTTCAGTTACAGGTAGAAGGCTCAGAACACATTTTCTTGCCACAAGGCTACACTCTCTTTAGAGATGACAGGTTCCCGTTTGTTATTATTTCATAGATGGCATTTTGATGAGGACATGGAGACCGCAAGAGGTACCTGCTGATAATGAATGGAGGGTTTTTCATGAGATTGCTTTCCTATCGAAAACATGTTTTGAGTTTGGCACACGAACCTCCTTTCGCAGCTCATTTGGGTCAACAAAACTTTGTCTCATTTCTTGACGAGGTTGTATGTTTTGCAAAACCTGACATGTATCAAATGGTTTGGAAAATACCATCAAATGACAGTTGTCAACGACCCTTTCAGCAAGGTTACCGTTGATTATGTTGATCCTTTGCTAGGTCAGAGGACTGGGATGAAGACAGTCATTTGTTCTTGTTTGCATTCAGAAAGTCAGTTCAAGAGTCTTTAAGTATCAGTCATTTGGTCATACTGGACCTTCTGACCATTTGAAAGAGCAATGGCTGAATGACCAGTCTGAAGTCAGTCTCTTGGACTATGGTTCATCACTTTGGACTAGGCTTTTGAAAGTATGTGGGAATGCTACACGTTGTGAAAGAATCCCTGAATAAGAAAAAGTACATCATGACAAGAAGTCAGTCCCATCATCACGACATTTCAGTCCCGTCGATTTATTGTTTTGCAAATCCCTGATCAAACATTGTGTGCTAGGTACGTTGGGTCATATTTTATTGATAAAAAAGGCAGCAATACTCCTTGTGTGGTGTTGACTCAAAGCCGTCGTAAAAAGGCACTACATTAGATAATGTAACGGATAATGATATGGATGAGTGATGTCACTTTGTAAAGTTTGATGGCATCGCCGAATCTGCTTGCTGAAGTTTTAGCTAACTTAGATGTTAAGCTAAAGTGTCAGATTTATTGAAGAGTTTGTTCACTTATTCCTGGATGTACCTGGTAGTACATATTTAGTGCCATGATGTAGATGTAGGTGGCTCTGTGCCTGTGAAGTATCCCTACTGGATAAATCCAATCAAGCTTGAAGCCTGCAGAAGGAGGTTCAATACATCCTGGACGTTGCTGAACCAAGTCAAGGTCACTAGAGTTCTCATTTGATTCTTGTGCAGAAGCATGTAGGTGTACGTGAGAGTTGGCGGATACATCGATGATACTGTCACCCAT